GCCACGTTTTTCCATGCTTTCTCGACTTCCAGCTCGTTACGGCGGTTGCGTCGTGTGCAGCGAGTTGCGTCAGGTTGTCTCCGCCAGCAGAGTATAGGAAGAAGGGCAACCGCTCGTTCGGCGAGGCGTTGATACCCTCTCTTGCGCGGCTTCCCCCGAGTCAGCTGCTGTTCGTTTTTAAAGACGATAGTCTTTCTTGGGGACCTTCGACGCAAGAAATTTGATCTGCCTATTCATTGTCCACTCTTAAAGGTACTGGGCCCTTAAAACGGCACCAGAGGATATCTCAAATGGCCAACTACATCCGCAGCGCCCACCAATGTTGCTCAAGGTTTAGCGTTCATACTTGAACGATTGTCAATTAAAAAGCAATTATCGCACACATTTGAGGAACCATAACAACACGTATATATTATCTGTGTGCGTCTTTTACTAGAAAAAGCATACATAAGTTATTCTAAGGACCGTAGCGTTCATCACGCGGTGCTGACCATGTAACGCTTGCACGAAAAGGGAAGCGTTCCGAACGCTTCCCTTGTCGAGGACACGGTGGTGGCACTTACTGGTCGCCTTGCGTTCTACCCCTTATCACCTCTGAGACGGGCGCGCACGCCCATCTCAACGCCGCGCATTTGGTTTCCAAGATAACTGCCAGTTAGCGCTAGTGTCTCACATGTGACGTTCGCCTCCACTGCACGCTCGAGGCACTCTATAACGCCGCGCTTCCAGAATACCATTCACCGATTTCCTTGCGCAGAACATCAAATAAACGTTTTGTTCAATCTCTCCAGACGCAAGACTATCTTCTTTCAACGACTTTTGCAGATTAACATGCTGATACGGGGCCATTTTTCAGCAATTTTTAGTTAAATATCGCAGTCACTTCACGGTTATTTCTCTTAGTTATATTAGCTACTTTTCACCCAGTTTTGAGCGCTGGAAGTCTTGTTATGGCCTGTATTGGGCGCTTTGCTGTCAGCGTAATCACGCCACATGAGGTGCAATTTATGTCAAAGTGAAAGTTCAATATATGACAACGTGCAAAACTGGAATATTATCAGCAGCAGTGCCCTACTTACCGAGGAATTAAGGTGAATGCACGAGGACACATGGGCCGAGAGTAGGACATTCGCAAAATGATCCCGATGACATCACATTTACCGCCTAAATTGAAGCACTAATAATAAAACTAGCTGCACTAAATGAAGAAGCTTCCGTGCATCAAGAGTCGTAATAAAATGCTGCTTGTTCATTCCTGTTTAATTCATGAAAAAAAAAAATGCCTGAAGTTACAATGGGCTATGGGGAATGACGCGAGTGGTTAAAAAATTCAAATTTCGCCTGGTTAAATTGGACAGGTAGTGCTATCTAGCGGGACCCAGTTGAACCAAACACGGCTGCCATCTCGGAGGCCATAACGGGAAATTGTTCAGTGGTCGTTGTTGCCATTATACTTTCGCTCTGCCGCCACTAGTTTCGCCAACCGCGCAGCAAAGCCGGGCAACGTTGTGCACGGCAACAGTGACGTTTGCTTTCACATTGAGGCGGGTAATTTTAAGTGTGCTAACGCAATGCGGACCACTGAAACGGGATTTTTTTTTCAACGTAATCACTCCCTTGGCACAAAAGTAGCATTACGAGATTCCTAGACCACTATTTCAGCAAGCAAGACTGACTTAAAGTTTGCCTTTAGTGTCCCTTTAAAGTGCTTTGCAGTTGCATGAACGGCGACGATGCTATGCACTCTGGGTAGGCAGCCATTTTTTTTGTCAGAGGCGGCCGGGGAGTGCAGCAGCGCAGTCGTGTTTGCGAGCGTTGGCGTAGCTTGCAAGCGTGATCGAGTGCGAGCGGGACGCAAATTTAACTCCAAGAAATGTCGAGCACGATGTCAGCCTCACCGGAAGACTACACCGCAGCGCTGTGCTAGAAAGGCCTCGAGCGATACGAAGAAGACGCGAGAATTTTCTCCGAGTGGACCCATGCACGCTTCTTGCAGGCGACTGTGTAAGTGACGTGGACTTGTGGCCACGCGTCGACAGCTCCGATATTCGTGAATTTCTCGTTCCGAGGACGAGTTTGAAAACCCGGGAGCAGATGAAGTCCAGAAAGGCCCTCGAGGGTCACAACTTTTTGAAGAGTGGCTGGTTGTGGGAGCCGGGGGTGAATGAATTCGCCGCCGACACCGTGATCGTCGTCACTCAAGTAAGAGGTGTTAAATTACTTGATTTTGCCATGGATGCTAATGGTTGTTTCCGTTTCGATTAAATTGTAAGTGTGTTCACAAGGCCCCCGTCAACATCTTGTTCATGGACATGAGTGATGGCGAGATCCTTGCCACGCATTGCACATGCATGGCCGTGAATAGCGAAGCCTGCTCGCATCCCACTGCGTTATTCTACGTGGAGTACGACGCACGTGCACAAGAAGAGCGTTCTCAATTTTAACACGCCTTATTTGAGTGACGACGACCACGGTATCGGCGGCGACTTTCTTCACTCACGGCTCCCGCACTCGGCCACTCTTCAAAAAGTTGTGACCCTTTAGGGCCTTTCTGGACTTCATGCGCTCCCGGGATTTCAAACTCGTTCTCGGAACGAGAAATTCATGAATATCGGAACTGTCGATGCGTGGCCACAACTCCACGTCACTTACACAGTCACCCGCACGAAACGTGAATGGGTCCACTCGGAGAAAATTCTCGCGTCTTCTTCGTATCGCTCGAGGCCTTTCTAGCACAGCGCTGCGGCGTAGTCTTCCGGTGAGGCTGACATCGTGCTCGACATTTCTTGGAGTTAAATTTGCGTCCCGCTCGCACTCGATCACGCTTGCAAGCTACGCCAACGCTCGCAAACACGACTGCGCTGCTGCACTCCCCGGCCGCCTCTGACAAAAAAATGGCTGCCTACCCAGAGTGCATAGCATCGCCGCCGTTCATGCAAGCTCCCTATAGGAAGAGGGTGTAAAGGAGAGGCTGCTTTCCCGAGACGTGAGCAGCTACCTTCACATTCAGGTTGCAGTGCCTCTCTTCCGATAAGAAAAATCCGTGGATGCCGCGAGGCGCTGGAAATTGAGCCCCACGCACTGGAGACGGGAATTGAGTCCTCGCACTGGAGACTTGTCCCTGCTGGCGACAAGTCATCCTTTCGCCCACTTTTGTTTATTTTCAGCTTTACATTGCAATTACTTCTAATAACATCCCCTATACTTTCCTTGGCATCATTGTCGGTTGGTTTTCATTAATACCGTGTCTAACAAAGAAACAAAATCACAGCATATCCAAGCAGTGAATGATGATGACGGGGGCGAAGCGTCCATCAGCCCGTCCGTGCTTCCGTCCATTCATGCGTCTATCCGTCCGTCCGTCTGCTAGTCTGTTGTCCGTCCGTCCGTGCGTCCATCTAGTGAACACTCCCAAGTACCGTCATCACCCATCTGGCATCCCATGTGGCTCATACCCGCTCTAGAGCGAGTATGTGCCACCGGTGGCTAAGTACTACTACATGCATACAAGACAGACCCACGCCTTAAGGAGCTTCGCCCCTAAAACGAGCCCTTAAATTTCCCCTTCTTTCCTTAACACAAAACTTAGACATTTGGCACCCATTCAACTCAAAAATAAATACCCATTCGTTATTGCAACCACTGGGTTGAATGATTATGAATAAATAAGGAGGCACTTTTTTAGTACAGCACCTGTTTCAGACCTAATATGTGAATTACCTAAATACTTTTGCAACAAACATTTATAAGTTCAATTAAGAAAATTTGTTTCTTAAAGGGGGATGCTACTTGAAAAACTTTTAGAAAAAATAAAATTGTAGTTAGACTCAAAGTATGCTAAAATCACCGTTAAAGCACACAATGTGGCCATATAAAACTAAAAAAAAGGCTCATCGTCTAGAGTCCTTTTGAAAACGTCACTTGGCTGCTTGCCATTTTTGCCCCATGCTCAAAATAATCGTGATTCCCAAGCTCTCATAATGAAAATAATTTTAAAAAGCACATATTGCCACACAGATCGGCTTTCGATTCTACATTTAAAATGCTTTTTTTTTCTATATGCAATTTTGGGCAATTTAATGAGTTTGAAAACTATGTAACTCACTGTAAAACTGATTACATATTTGAAACCAGCATAGAAACTTATGTAAACAGCAAACGTTTCATTGCATTAAGGAACAGATTAAAAAGCTTTTTTTTTCGTACCCTATAAAACCTATAAAAGGCCACTTTTTCTTCAATATTTGTATTTAATTTGGTAATACATATATATTGCACCTTTCAAACATCCTTACTTCCATGCAGAGTAAATGTCTAAATATGTTAAAGGGGACCCGCAACACTTCCTAAATATGATTGGGAAACACTGCCTATGCATAGTCAGACTTTTGTGGTGATGTGAGCTTGAAATCGTTGGGGTACACACAACAGGGCATGTACCATTTCGTGTGAAGAAACGACCAATTGTCTTTAACTCTTTCTGATGCAATGTCATTATTGACTGTGAAGTCATCAAGAGCAAGGAGACATATTGCCTAATTTCATGACATTAGCGGATGATTTCAGAAACCACAAGCTGCGTTGTTTCAGCACAGGGCCTGCCTGCAGTGTGTTGCCGCCTGCCGATGCGGCACACGTCTGAGTCAGACGTAGCAGCCGGAAGAGTCAGAGAAGGAAGAAGAGGAAAATGGCATAGCGGCCTAACTTCTGCCCAGTGTATAGAACCCTTGTTATACCACCTGTCAAGTTTCCATAGCACTTGTGGCAATGAAAAGAGAGGGCGAAAGCATTCACTTGGGCGACAACTATACGCCCATCTTTCAGTGACGTGAAAAACTTTTGCAACAGGACATTTGTGAGGCAGAAGGGTTACACATGATGTCATTTTATGACAACGTAAAAAGGTGTTCTGGGGCCAATTTAATTCTAATTGCACATTTTTAGAGAAGACATTTGACCAACATAAACGTAACAGAAGCACACGAATGAAAGAATTAAGCCAGTTCTTTGTATTTTTTTATTTTTTTTACTACAATGATGAACTTGACTTTTTTTTGTAACCAGAAACTGATAGCATGTATCAACAGCAACAACAAAGACAACACTTGACAGCCTCAAAAGCACCACATATACAAGAACCGAGATTCCGCTTCCGCCGGCTGTAAACCCTGGCTAGACCATAGCTGAATGCAAAGTGATGGGAACTGCCCGGCACTGCCCTTGCATTTTGCTAACTGGCAAAACTAAGGCACCACTCCGAGCAGGACGCCTGTGCCGTAGGCACAGTGCACACCCTACTCTAGGTCAGGCCTTGCACGCGAAGTCCCAAATGAAGAGCGTCAATTGTGACACTTCTCTGCAGCACTAAAAACAAGCCTTTTAAAGCAAGCAAAGATGCACTCTGCACACAAGCTTTATCACTACTAGCTAGCTACCTGCGTGCCAGCTTGCCACACTTTGAAAATATGCAGCAAGACTGGACAAAGAACGTGCACTACATTAAGATATATATATATAACAGAAGCAGCCATTCAAATATGCTGCACGTAATGATTCTTCTTTATGATACAAATGTGAAACGTGCCTGTTTTTCCTTTCTGAAATCTAAGTGGCTCCCTTGTTGATAAACATTGATAGATGATCAGAGGTCAAGTCCACATGAACCACCCTGATGATGCAGTACTATTGCTGAGCCTATCCAGGTTGTCACATGCATACATGATTAGTGTATGTTCATTCCAATATACCCAAAATAAATTTTGCTGAAGAATAAAAAAACATTTTTTTTCTAAAAAAGAACAACAAAAGGAAATTCTTAGCCCACTTGATCCAGACCAGCAATGAAAAACAGCAATTCACAAAGTCAACCTGAGACAGGCGGCTAAGAATACTGAACATTTTCCATGACAGCTGCTCGGCGCTGCAGGTTTGAATGAACACTATTACACAAAAAATTCAACAGAGCATAGCCTAAGCTGTGTTATTGTGTGTATTGATATCATTGAAGCTTGCTTAATTAAATTATTAAAAGGAAAGGGGACATATAGCTGATATGCTTCTTCCCTCATAATTTTATACTGCTTTCCTGCTATGTTTTAGCGCAGCTTTAGCCAATGCGGAATGTTAAGTCTTTCAGGGTAACTGATACAGGTGTCAAGCAAGAGATAAAGCTAAATGTCAGGTCTAAAAAAAATGGCGCAGAGTATGCAAAGTGCAATGATTTTGATACAAGGTATTATTCCCCCCCCCCCTCTTTTTTTTGAATATGTGTGTCTCTAAGTCCATCATAACACAACAGCTACACCAAAGACACATGATTAAGAAAGTGCAAGTTTGGTAGCAGGATAGGAAGACAACATGTTAAGCCCCCTTTTTCAACAGTGACTAGCACCAGAGGGTGCGACGAAACATCCCCCCTCCCCAAAAACAACAACAAAGGGATACATAATATTAAATGTACAAGACTGCGAGACATATCTTCTATTGGGACAGCACAGCACAGCCACCCTTTCCTGCTGGCTCATCTAAAATGTTAAAACAGCTGCCTAGACAAAAACACACATGGCACATAAGCCAATAGGTTTCCTCAATTTCTGGTATTGTGAGCCGTCATCCTAACAACAGAACTGGGAATTATGACCTCTACAAAGACCAAAGGAAGCATAATCTAAATGGGCATCACATAAACTAGAGTGCCCTCTCGCAGCTGTTGACTAAGAAACGTCCTGGCAATGGGTGTCATACCGAAGTGACCACAGGTTTCTGGCACTGCCGGGAAGTATTTCAGGAGGCTATCATTGCTGTTTAGCCCCCTGCAAAACCAACCAAACTAGAGCGAAGCACACTTCTCCCTTCATTCTTTCCTTAAAAGCAAAAACACATTCTAGACCTTATTACAAACACACTTAACATAAGCCTTCAATGAATTGCCACTTAGACTGATAAATTATAACTTACACTAGTATATGCCTCTCCAATTAACTGCTGCACCACTGTTGTACTAAAGCAATTCTGCAGATTAAACTTGGGCCCTGTAGTCACTCAACAACCAAACTACGTTATTTTGGCATGTCACATTTGTTGCCTCTACTGTGATACAGCAACTGAATGTTTCTGGTTTACATGCTCGTATCGACAGCACCTACGCGGTCTTTGGCAGTCAACCAGACACAGCCACGGCTGTCCCGCTCCACCAATAGCTTTCAAGAAGACATAGTGAGGTACAGCATACCTTACCCGGCTCAATCTGCACACTAATGAAGTACAGTGGTGAAGCAGGCAGTTCCTAAGGGTGATTTGAAAATAAATGTACCTTAAGCTTGTATACCTTTAGGTATAACAGTGGTCAGCTTCCATGTCACCGATACCACTTACAAATTATATTGTGGCTTCCCTTTTGCGAAAAGCCAGCCGCAAGTAACTGTCCATTTAGCACAAACTGCTTGTACCATTTTTCTGAAATTCTCACTAAATTTCTGCTTGATGATAGTCAATGTACAGCCACAAGAAATATTGAGATATTTTACCATAACAATGATTAAGCCTTATTTCGCTATTTTTCACAGCTTGTGGGAGCCTAGGAAAAAAAATCAGGCTGTAATGCAGCAACTGTAACTGCACTATAACTTCGATAACAACGGTAAAAAGATTCTGTCATGTAAAAATATAAAATTTGATAACACAATCTAAGTTGTGTTTCCAGTCATAATCAATATACACGACCATATGACTGCCTATCAGAAGTCAACATTACTGTGACCTAAAACACAACCAAAATATGCAGGCAAACAGCACATTCTTTTGAACCCTTCTGCCTTAATGCCTGGTTTATGTTTACAAGTGAGATCGTGCAGTGGCCCTTTTTGCATACCAATCACTAGAGAAGTCTTGCACTAATGATGACGACTACACAAAAGCAACACAAATGGGCTAAAAATAAGAAAAGAAAGTATGCGATGCAAGCTTTTTCAATTCTTAGCCTGGTCGTGATAATTTAGTACAAGTTACTTCCCTACTCACCCAAACTATCATGCTAATAATGCTTTGAAACTTTTCATACATCAACGTTGCAGCTAAAGCTAATGCAGAACAACTGCAAGAGTAGTCTTTTGCACAAAGGAAGATGATGAAAAGCTTGCCTCTCTGGGTCCTTTGTCATATTTTAGATCGTAAAGCAACAAGCTACATACATTAATACCCCACGAATGGTCTAACCTCTTCACATGCAGTCCGAAGCATCGGTAGTGTCTCAATAACTGGGCCACTCAGAGGCCGTCACAGCCGTCAGCGCGTGGTGGACACCACTCTTCATCTTCTGGCAAAGGGCCCTGGTCACCCAGCCGTCGCACAAGCTGCGCGATGCCGTCATGCGCTTCCCCCGATGCTCCAAAGCTGAGAGACCGCACATTTCGCTCGTCCGCAGCCTCCAGTCGGTCTAGGCGGTGGCGCAGTGCTGCGTTGCTGTGATGCAACGCATCCCGCTCATCTTCCAGCTGTCGAATGCGCTTCTCCAAGTGTTGCACTGTGCCTTGGTACGAGCTCACTGAGGCCTCGAGGCGGCTCACATTGTTGTTCGCCACCTGGAAGTGAAGTGATGCACATTGCAGTAACTATAAACATTTGCCTTAGGGAGGCAAGTTTTTTGTTTAACTTATAGGTAAACAGACTTGTAGGTTTGCATTGTGAGTGTAGTATGGGTGCTGCAAAGCTTATGCTGTTCATAAATGAGGGAAATGTTCGGGCTTGTCTGTGGTTAATTTCCAAGGTGCACTAGCAAGAACAGGCAGAAAAATGAAGTATGGGAGCCAAGGATTTGCAGAATGTTGTGCATACCCTTGTGTCCTTCTAATTTAGAGTGACCATCTGTTCGTAACTCCACCACAGTCCCAGTTAGGTAGTTTAACCTGGTAATGTTGTTGATATGGTGCATCACAGACCTTTATCATGTGGCGAGTCCTACATCGGGCGAACTAGGCCAATGCACTAACAAACGAGCAGGAGCACATTCAGTAGCAGACAGAAATAAAATATGCAAGTACTTCCTGCCCAATACGGTGCCTGCATACGTGAGCCATAGCAATGCCGACAAAAATGCTTCAAGGCAGCGCATTTTACGCCGCCAGTAACATAATAAAATGAATCAGAGCCTGCGTTCAAACAACATTGTAGTAATTTTAAAAGGCCCCTACAACATTTTCCCAAGTAATCATTTAACAGATATATTTAAAAAATTTGTTGATCCACAAATCGACTGCTGCAAAAAATTTTTAGGATCAGTCAAAAAATACTAGCAAGTTTCAGAGGTTTGCTGCATGCTTTCAATTTTTTCTCTCTCTTTTTCGTATGAACGAGCAAGTTGCAAGCTATGCAAGGGTGTCGAGTGAGAGACGATGACACAGAGGCAAGAAGCTACATTACATCAGTTTATTTACGTTTGTTTGTTAGGGCACATGATGACCTCAAGCACTTTCTTCCCTTTTCTTTTTTTTTTCTTAGAATGTGCCTTTTACTTTTAGTGTGATTGTGAGTGTGCACATGGGCATGTAGCAGCATCCCACAGCAGCCTCAGTAGCTATGCAGCTCATGATTCTCAAATCAGCAACCCCCCCCCCCCCCTCCTTCCCACACGCCTCTGAAGAGTCATGCTTCTCAGGCAGAGAAATAATGGAGATAAGTTTTAAAAGCCTACTTCATCAAGAAAAAAGTAGATGTATTAGTGATATATCAGTCTCTATTTACACCTGTAGCCTTGTTGGAATGAAACTAGAAATCCATTACCTGAAGTGTCTTGTAAAGTGATTGATTGATTGATTTATGGGGTTTAACGTCCCAAAACCACTAGGTGATTATGAGAGGCGCCGTAGTGGAGGGCTCCGGAAATTTCGACCACCTAGGGTTCTTTAACCTGCACCCAAATCTGAGTACACGGGCCTACAACATTTCCGCCTCCATCGGAAATGCAGCCGCCACAGCCCAGCCGGGATTTGATCCCGCGACCTGCGGGTCAGCAGCCGAGTACCTTAGCCACTAGACCACCATGGCGGGGCAATCTTGTAAAGTGCATAGGCAAATTTCTAAGGTATAATAAAACAGTCGACAGCGAAGCTCATTCAGTCTGCTTCGTTTTTGCATGTGTAAGTATGAACCTAACATTTAATGCTCATGTTTCAACAGCCGGCCAGACAAGAAGTAGCGTACCTGGAGCTGTTCTAGAAGCTCCATGTTCTGGCGTCGCAAAGTACGGTTCTCCTCAAGATCGGCCGATGAGACTCCAGGTCTCTTGGGTGTATACACCATCTCCTCTTGCAAGAGGTGGTACTCGACCTGGTACGACACCAGCTCCTGACCCAAGTCCAAGGAGAACATACCAGAAACTATGCCCTCCATCATAGGAGCATCCAGTGCAGGCAGGGTATTCTTGAAGCACTCCATGATGGACTCAAAGCTGTTGCAGCTCAGCAGTGTGTCCGAAAAGTAAGACAACAGAGACAGGGCTGCCTTGAACACGGCCTCCATTCCCTGAAGAAAGATGGCATCTGCACGACCCCCAGAAGAGCGGGTGTTTACGGGCACATTTGAGTGTCTCACCGTCAGTTCAGCCACAAGGCGCAAAGTAGTGAGCTCAAAGGCCAGCCAAATGCTGAAACACGTACCGAAAAGCCTGGAGACAAATCCCAGTGGGAATTGCGAAGCAAACAGGGTGAGGAACCAGGGTGCGGCATACAGAGCTGGGGCAATGTCAAAGTGGTCCAGGTGCTGGTACAGCTCTCGATGTCGGCTGTACAGCAGGCGGCACAGCTGATACAGCTGCACCTGCAAATGCCACACACACACGCAACTAGGTAACCCTCCATCATATCACACTACAGAGCAATCCACAAGTAAACAAAATACTGCCACACTACAGGTAGCACACAGACAAAGAGGCGAGCTAACTAACTCAAAATGTGCAAGCAGAACATTCAGCAAACGCCCACCCACGTCACATTACAGAGCAATCCACAAGTAAACAAAATACTGCCACACTACAGGTAGCACACAGACAAACAGGCGAGCTAACTCAAAATGTGCAAGCAGAACATTCAGCAAACGCCCACCCATGTAATGATAGAATAGCCCAGAGGCCTCATAATAAAATCATGTTGCAGTCTACAGCAGCCACTATATATTGGGTCTACGAGGCATTCAAGAGGGCAGTTACAGATTTGGAATGAAGAAGCAGTGCTAGAACAGAACAATGACGGGGGAAAAAAAAGCACAGCATTCCTCTCATCGTCATCCTGTTCTAGCACTGCTTCTTCATTCAAAATCAGCATGTACCAACCAGCTCCACTCAGATAGCAATGAAATGAAATGAAAAAACTATATTTAAGTTTTCCGAGATGTGAACTAGTGCATAGTACGCCACTCCCAGGTTGGGGCAGATAGGCCTCAACTTTATGCCATGTTGCAGGCTCATTGGACTGCCCATCATTGTGCTTCTAAATCCGAACTGTGCAAGGCAGCGTCCCACTTGGACGTTGTAACGTCTTTGTTACCACGTAACATGGGGCACTGAGTTGAATTACATCAAGCATTCACACATATCTATCAACCTGCTTAACATTGTATTCATCAGCACCCCCTGTTCTGGCACAGGAGATGAATATAGGCACAATACTAAGTTTGCTTTCTAGCACATTTTATGTGTCATGACAGTGGCACCCTTCATTTCTATATATGCATCACTGCAGTACACTGCATACACTCAGCGGTTTAACACTTCCGCATTGAAATGAAGCAAAGTGAACTATTGAAAATGGTTACAGCTGAAGGCAAATCTGTGCACCAGTGCAATGGTGGCTTCAATTAATGCGGTTTCACACTTGTGATCCCAGCAAAAAGGTTGGCAAAATGGGGCGAAATGGGGCGATGAAATGCACCAGCATCTGAACATATGCTTTCATACATTGTCTCTATGGAGTTTATTGCAAAAATGTCCAAGTTATCAAGAATGTTCTAAAACTTTGTAGTTTATGGTATTCTCATGAAGAGAGCACTGCAAACAGCAAAGATGTTATCTCGTAAAAGTTGTGTTGAAAGTAGAGGCCACCATTTTGGCTGGACAAACACTACTATAACAATATGAGAAATGTATTATTACTGCACACTAAAGGGCAGTCACATGCATTAGTGTTCACTCAGCTTGCAACCTCAAACATTTTACATGGGTCAAGTGAATTGTCTGTGGCAACCAAAGTATGCCATGACATATCTGCGTTTTTGACTGTGTGTGCGTCAACCATGCCATGAAGGTGGTTAAAAATAGTTATATAGCTGTACGATGTGGGAATCGAGGCTAGCTCGCTGGCTTTGCGCGGGCTTTGCCGCCTCTTTCTGCGTTCTCATGTCCTGACATGACTCTCCTCTCCTCCGCGGTCTTCCGCACTGGGGGAGCAGGGAGTGAAGTATTAACCACTCTCACCCAGTAGCGGATGTCGACTGTGGCGCCGCACGCAGGGTCTCCCGGAACGTATTGCGCGCGTGCGTTGGTAGTGAGGGGACCTCTCCGGGGACAACATGGGGGTAAGCAAGCTTTTCTTTTCCGTTTGTCGGCTCCCTTTGGGGTTCGTTCGGACTTTGACAACAGCGCCTTGCACCCGAGCCGAATGCTTACCTTAAGTCGCCCCCCCCCCCCCTCCAAACGCTAGTCCGAAGAGTGGTGTGGTGTCCTAGTGCGTGGCCAGGCTGCACCGACCCGTATCTCTCTGAAGCCAACGCGAGCGCCTTTGCCCTCACTCGAGCAACCGGGCCTTTGTCCCGGTGCCTCCGTGAGTCACTTTTACAACATAGACGTGCTCGTGGCACCCTGTGTAGTACTTCTCGCTCATGGCGTGGATAAGCCCATTTGCTTTCCTGCTGCACCTTTGCAACGGGCTCTGTACTGCATTTTTGGTATTGCCGCAAACAATAAAGTGTTGCGACCTTGAGCAGTATCGAGTTCTCGCCACGGCGGCGGTTAACACGTGCCCTGCGGCTCGCTAAGACCGAACCCACGCTAGTAGCCGTATTCCTTTGGGGTCGAACACTACAACCACAAGAATAACTCGGTATGGAAGTGATAACCCTGCCTCTTTAGCATCAATGGACTTGGCTAATTCTAACAGTTACACTAGGCTTATTTTTTTACATTACCTTGTAAAGCTGCCACTCTTCGCTAATTACTGCATAAATTAGATAAGCCATTAGTTACACCAATACTAAAAAAAGAAAAATAATTTATAGTCTGGCAAGCAACAAAAAAACAGAACAAAGACCGTATTTACCTGCATGATTTGCAGCAAACACTTAATTTTTGTGATTTCGGAGCTCCGAAAAGGGGGTGCGCAAATTAAGAGGAGATTTCGCAATGCATCCAAAATAATGAGCAATAGCATTTAGTTCTAACGTATGCAGCATACACATTTAAAAAAAAAGAAAATAAATTGGAGCCAAAACAAACTGTATGTGACGAGCCGTCGGGTCGAAGTGGCGAAGAATAGGTGGGGAGGTGAGCAGATGGCGTAGAGTAGTGAAGGCAACGTCACATGCAGGGGACCAGGAGGAGAGGTTCACGTCAACGCGAAGAAGCTGGGTTAATGGTGACATGATAGATGCAAAATTGCGAACAAAGCGCCGGAAATACGAGCATAGGCCTACAAAACTGCGAAGTTCTTTCATGGTCGTCGGCTTGGGAAATTCTGCGACTGCTCGAAGTTTTGCCGGGTCAGGTAATACGCCATGTTTGGACAAGATGTTGCCTAGTATGACGAGTTCGCGTGCAGCGAAGCGGCATTTTTTCAGGTTAAGCTGCAGGCCAGCGTTGGTCAGGCAAGTCAAAACGTGCCTGAGGCAAAGGAGGTGCGTAGGAAAATCATGGGAGAAAACCACGACACCGTTGAGGTAACAGAGGCACATATTCCACTTGAGGCCACCTAGCGTATTATCCATAAGACGTTCAAACGTGGCAGGCGCATTACAAAGCCCAAAGGGCATGACGTTAAACTCGTATAGTCTGCCTGGTGTAATAAATGCCGTTTTTTGGCGATCGGCTTCAGCCATTGAGACTTGCCAATAGCCAGACTGCAAATCTAGCGACGAAAAAAATTCCGCTCCATGAAGGGTGTCGATGGCGTCATCAATGCGCGGCAAAGGACAGACGTCCTTGCGGGTTATCTTGTTCAAACGACGATAGTCCACGCAAAATCGGATAGATCCGTCTTTCTTACGCACGAGGACGACAGGAGACGCCCAGGGACTGTGAGATGGTCGAATGACGTCTCTACGAAGCATATCTTCGACTTGATCGTTGATGACGCGGCGCTCTTCAGCGGAGACACGGTATGGTCTTTGACGCAGTGGCTGGTGTAGGCCGGTGTCAACATGATGTTTGACTTGTGACGTGCCGCCCAGTTGAGGCTGCGACACATCGAAAAAAACTCCTGAACTCTTGCAGAAGATACAGCAGGTCGGCATGTCCTGTGGGAGTCAGAGTGTCAGCAACGGCGCTAGAAAACGTGTCCTTGGACGACTCCTCGAGTGTTGACAGTGATTTTGGGTGGTCGCAGTAGTCATCCGGGACATCAACCAAAGCCGAAGGGTCGAGATCCTGCACGCGGCCGAGACATTCCCCCGCAAGCAAAGTGACAGGTGTGGAAAGCGAATTGCTAACGAACATATTGCTTCTTCCGGCGCCAAGGTCAATTGTTGCGAAAGGCAGCGGCAGAGCTCGACGACTCTTGAAGATATCGGAAGGCATAAAAAGGCATGTAGCGTCAGTGTAGGCGTTGCATGAAACGGGAACAAGGGCAAAATTTCTAGGTGGAATATCGGTATCTTCACGAACGAGCAACTTCGCCGGCTGATGAAGAGCGTTAAGTAATGGGACATCACACAAAGATGAAAACTCAACTTCGGCGTGAGCGCAGTCGGTGACGGCATTATGACGGGATAGGAAGTCCCACCCGAGGATGACGTCATGCGAACAGACAGCGAGAACAATAAATTCCACGATGTAAAGATTGCCTTCGATGGACACTCTTGCAGTGCAGGCTGCGAGAGGCGTTACTTGCTGTGCGCTTGCGGTGTGGAGCAACAGTCCCGAAAGCGGCGTCGTGACTTTGCGCAATAAACGGCAGAGATTAACGGCAATAACAGAAACAGCTGCACCGGTGTCCACAAGGGCGAAAGTACAATAACCTTCAACAGTTACTGCGACCACGTTAGTAGGAGAGGGGCAAGGGCTTAGACAGTTCGAAAACGGCGCAGTTCTTGCCTCTTGAAGGTCCGAGCCGGCGATGCATGGGGGAGGGCGATCGCCGACGAGGAGACCGTGCGCACTGCGACTGGAAGTCAAGGTGGTCAGTAGGGGCATAGTGAGGTGACGAGACCAGCCCGTATTGGTCGAAGGGTTGGCTGCCGGGTTGCGATGACCTGGCATAGTTGCCGAACGTCTGAGGTCGACGGCGGCAGTAGCGGGCAACGTGTCCGGGAGTGAAGTAGACGTAGCAAATCGGTCGGTTATCGGGAGTCCTCCATGGATTGGCGACTGTTGGTGCCGCCCAAGGTGTAGTATAAGCAGCCGGGTGTGCGCGCTGTGAGCGCTGTAGGGCGGTTGCGGAAGCCTACGCACAGCGTCTGCATATGTGAGTGGTGCGGCTACGGGCTGCATCTCTTGCGAACAGGCGACGGGAGGAGCCACAGGCTGCGCTGCATACATTAGGGGCGCGGCCACAGGCTGAATCGCTGGCGGATAGGCGACAGGGGCACCTACCGGCTGTGCGACACGCGAGCAGTGGACACGGCTAGATGGAGGCGGCTCGTAGTGCGCAAGGGGAACAGCTTGTGCAACCTCTTCCGATATAGCAGTGCGAAGCGGGGCGGGTAGACGGGTGGTGGTCTCGTGAGCAAAAGGCACTAGAGAAAGTTGGCGGGCGACTTCCTTACGGACGAAGGCTCGGACTTGCTGAAGCAATGGTGAATTGTCAGGCATGGTGTCGAAACTGGACAGCGACTCACCACCACGCTGAGGTTGTCGATTCAGAGAGCGTTGCTTCTTCAACTCGTCGTAGCTCTGACATAAGCTGACGACTTCAGAAACTGTGCTCGGATTTCTAGCCAAGAGCATTTGAAATGCGCCATCGTCGATGCCCTTCAGGATGTGTTTGACCTTGTCCGACTCGGGCATGGTGTCATTCGCGCGTCGACAAAGGTCGACGACATCCTCAATATAGCTGGTGAAATTTTCGCCAGTCTGCTGAGAGCGGACGCGCAAACGCTGTTCTGCCCGCTGCTTGCGGACAGCCGGCCGACCAAACACTTCTGCACATGACGTCTTGAAGACGCTCCATGTGGGTATGTTGTGTTTGTGGTTGTTAAACCACAATTCTGCGACGCCGGTGAGATAAAATATGACATGGCCGAGCTTGTCGGCTTCATCCCAGTTGTTATTGGCGCTCACCAGCTCGTAGTGCTCAAGCCAGTCTTTCACATCGGTCCCATCCGCACCGCTGAAGACCTTCGGGTCCCGTAGCCCAGGATGGCCGGGGCAGTTGAACTGGGGCGACGATGCCGATGGGTTGGCATTGTCAGTCATGACGGGCGGTAGTGTGCGGCTTCGCAGTTCCAGGGTGTAGCGACGGGAATGAACAGCCCTCTCCACCAAATGTGACGAGGTTTATTAGTCGATAACGACAACGGCAAGACAGCGTGAAGAACCGTCCAGCAGAGATCAGCACAGCAGCGAGCCGAAGCACGAGCCGAGAGAGCCGGGCGTTGGCGATGCTGCTTGCCGCAGGCACATCTTCTTCTTCACATGTACTTGTTTATTTAACATAATAAGCACGTTGTTTAACCACCCGGATCTGGTCATGTGTGATCTAGTCGGAATCACTGGCCGACAGGTCCAATTGAGAATCATCATCGCAGCCGCTGTCACCGCCCTCCCAAATCGCGCCGTGCCGCCTTCGGTTCCATCGAGTGCACTTGAATGCCCCATTCTCTTGAAGCTATTCTCAACAATTCTGAGAGAAAAAAGGTCCTATGACATGAATATACTGGAAGACCTAAGCTTTTGCACATAACTGAAAAGGTCTTCTCCAATGGCAAAATGTAGTATTAGCATAAGTTCACTACCTTCTGCTTTCTTCTATACCAAACGTCACATATTGAAGAACTTCAAATTGAAGTGCTTGGCAGCGTCACGGTTCCCATTTTCTTCTACAAACTTCATAACGGTGAACCTGTATTTTTTCGTATATACAATTACAGTGGACTCTTACTAAACGGAACCTGAAGGGACCAGAAAAATGTGTTTCATTTTTTTTTTTTTTGGAGTTCCGTTTACTGAGCAGGGGTGAAGAATTCAGGTACGAAAGCAATTGTGCTAAAGGAAGCTGTTCTGTTTAAGCAGCAGTTTCATTTAGCAGATTTACATTTACTGAGAGTGCACTGTATTGTAGCCCATTGCAAGGGAACTGTCAAATGCTAAAAAGACGGATGGCGAAACCTAAACTTGAGAAATTAACCAAGCACGCATTACAGCACAGATGCAGAGAACAAGGGGAACAATTGGCACGACACACCAATGGAGGTGTTTTCTAGGCAGGCCTTCGCATGACTCCTATGCAGAAAATAGTCGGTGTCACGAACGGGCATTCTCACGGGGTGGAAGAGATGGGGAGGTAGAGGGAGGCAAATGCATGAGCAGTTCCGATGATTCATCAGCAGGTCTGGGTGTTTCGGTACGGTATTCTAGGAAGAAGGGACTTCCCACCTGCAGACCATTTTATGTGTGATTGTGCTCGCCAGCTTAGCGAGGGGTGCACCCGTTCAATAATGCATCCTAAGGTCCAGTCTCTTCGTGTGGGTGCCAGTAAGCTAGCTTGGGTAGATTGAAGAGCTCAAGATATGTGAGTAAATAGACTTTTTATTTTTTTCCTTTAGTAAAGCTCCCAAATATAGGGTGTGCAAATTACTGCGAGTAAATACGGTATTCTAGAGTGAGTTCTACAAAACATTAAGTACTTTATTATTTTAATTTGTATAATACTAACTTCCCGATCTGTCGAATTTAGTACTTGTATATCATGATTCCAAGGTTCAAAGTTCAGTTATTTTTGTTTACATAGGGAATATTCTTTGCACTGTCGTATAACATTAAGATCAGTGATTCCTCAAGTATGACAAGATACGGTGAGACTGCAAGATTTACGCTGCAATGCACTTGTCAAACACACACACACAAAGGAAGAAAAGAAAATCCTCAGTCGTAAGATAAAAGGCTACCTGCAACGCGCCCATGTCTTGCTTGTATTGCCGTCGCAACCCCAAGTGAAAGAGCAGGTGCTTCATCATGCTAAAAGCTTGCTCCTCAGTCATCTGAAATGTAAAGCATTCCCATATTGAAGAGCTTGTATATCACGGGAGAAACTTCAGCATCTAATGTTTGGGAGTAAATCAATCAGATAATTTTTTGGGGGCAACCAACTATCCAGAGCAGTTAACCTATTAACCCCAGCAATCAAACACGTCCTGGTAATAAAAACAAGCTGTGTGGCAGGCAATGCAAGCTAAAGATCTCATAAGGGTGACTCGTTGGGTGAGTGCTTTGTATGGGTATGCCACCAATGAAAAGGAATTGATATAATTGAAATGTGGGGTTTAACGTCCCAAAACTACCATATGATTATGAGAGACGCTGTAGTGGAGGGCTCCAGAAATTTTGACCACCTGGGGTTCTTCAACGTGCACACAAATCTGAGCACATGGGCCTAGAGCATTTTCGCCTCTATCGAATAATGCAGCCGCCGCAGCCGGGATTCGATACCGTGACGTGTGGGTCAGCAGCCGAGTACCTTAGCCACTGAACCATCGCGGCGAGCAACGGAAAGGAAAGTAGAAAATATGTGAAAATATCTTGAAGCACGAAACAGGGGTAGAAGTTTTTTTCTCTTTCTTCTTGCTTGAATATTTTTTTTTTCTAATTCCTTTCCATTGATGGCATTTCCTTTCTAGACAGTGACGTGAGCGTGTTTTGAAAATATTTTTTAGTAGAATTTCCATAGGTTCAAAGCTAGCATTTGGCACATTCATCAAAGCTACATGGCAAGGCAAAGTTAACTACTACTATAAACACATTTTGAGTAGAAGCAAGAGGCAAGCGGCCCGCATGAGGAAACAAAATAGGGGGAATTCAAGTGACTCACATGCAGCAGAAGCACGCCGGAAACAAAGCTGAGCCCCTGGCAGTACCCAACTTGTGGGTCAAGCAGTGAATAGGCTTTGAGCAGGTTGTACAGTGAGAGCTGGCCGGCTCCCAGGCTGTCACGGTAGAATGGATGGCTGGGGAATGTCCGTCCTGCAAGGTGTGTGAACAATCGACTGCTTCACTGCCATTCTCGTCAGTTTCAGCATTTGCACATTAATATACCGGTGACACTCTCCTTCTTGCACATTATTATACAGTAATTTTCTGCTACCAGGCCCGCGCTTCGGGCGCTGGGCCTCGCGTTCTCCGTGCAACAGGAACTCTCTCCAACTTTTATTTTTTCTGCAATTTCACTTCGAAGTATTCGAAAGATATTCTTGAAATAGTCTAGAGCATTTTATAAATATTTCTATTCAATCCACACACTTCAACATTCAAATCCATATCACACCCAAAATTTTCCTATTCACATAGCTTTATTTGTAAGTTTATCAAAAAGATGTGCGAGGTGAATATAGTGCATTCACAGTGCTGAGGTACTTAAAATGAACTGGTACAGCTTAGGTTCAAGGTTATCACATTTGCAGGATTCATCCTCCAACTTTTGACAGACGCACACATCGCACTTGAGGTGGAGCATACATAGTACACATATAATCAACTGTAATAAAAGATACTGAAGTCCATAACGAAAGCATGCAAAATACGTGTGATTGGTACCAAGGTCGATGAGGATGGCATGTTGGTGAGTTGTCAGTTGGTTCAGCAGCTGCTCATAAGTTGTTGAGGAATCAATCTCATTGACAGGTGATGATCGCAGCTGGTACTGTTCTGCCAAAAGCAACCAGATCTCACCCCGTCGGTGTCTCGGTACACCTGCGAGGAAAAACGGGAAGAATGGAGCGCAATGACCCCAATCAATGTGCTGCGTCTTCCCAAGTGCAGTACACCCGATGCCGAGCAGCAGAATATCACTGCAAAACTATTACCTAGCATATGGACCCATGCACCCAAATGTGGTATAGTATTTCACGCAGGCACACCACCGTATGCTGCGATAGGACACAGCTTCCCAATGGGTATACCAGGCAATAATTGCTTTATCAAAATGGGAAATTTTGCATGTCAGTAAAAGGTGAGCCTGTTTAGGGGTATACATAGAAACCCCACAGACTAGCATGACTTTTGCCTGTTATAAAGTTGTGTGCTGTAGCAGACTTGGGTGTCTAACAGTCATAAAAAAAAAGGTCACAGTTTCGGTGCAAGGGCAAAGCAATGAATGCAACAGAAACAAATTGGAGTGTTATATGACGTAAGACTAGCAGCTTACTCTTTTGGACTCAATCTCGCACAACTCTACAAAAAAACGGTTTAAGTGAAATGTGGATACTCCACGGATCAAAGTGGTACAACTGCTTTTCATTATGTCTGTTGTCTCAACGTGAAGTAAACAATGGGAGCAAAGCACGTATACGAACTGTCTACTCATGTCTGCGAAAACAGCATGTGCAATAACTCTCACTATCGTGCCCTTATTATCAAGGTTTGCAGTTGCTGCTTGAGCGATGCAAACACTTCGGATCTTATACAGAACATGACTGCGATGGGAAAAACCCTGTAAGAGTACGCCTATAATTGTTATCGCAATAATAATAAAAAAAAAAACATTGGCATGCACCTGCTTGGACTAGTTCCTGAAGGGTGTCTGGGTTGATGCGGCCTCCCGGTGGCCGTGCCAGGAGCTCGTCCCAGCGTTCAGCCGTCTCAGCATCACAAGGCCCACCTCCGACCTCCTCGTAGTCGAGTCGCAAACGCTTGCTGCTCACTTCATCCTGGCTCGCTGCAAGTCAAAACATTTCTCAAAACACTGCAGTGAGCACATGCACATATCTTTTGCCGGCATCTATCATGGTGCGCTTGAAAATTATCGTGAAGAAGACGCAACCACAGCACAATAGGTGTGCAGGAAAAGCGTACACTATGGTGCATTCTTAAACAGAACCACCTGGATTGGATTTGAGCAACAGTAGTGTCATTTAGCAGTGACACTTAGAAAAGCAAACACTGTTAAGAGTGGGAGTTAAAAATTTAACTACAGCGAACTTTTTTAAACATTTTCTGTTTAAAAGGAGCTCCATTTGCTGAGAGGTGAACAGGAATGCAGAACATAAGCACAAAAACAACCATATGAACTAGTGCCCAAAAATACAATGAGCACCTCGATATAATACAGCTGTCGGCGATTGAATATTATCTCGCTGCTCATATCGCTCTGGTTTTGACAAACATGTCACCGCACATTCCAGAGCAATTGTTAATGCTTCCAGAAATTACAAAACTCATTACAAAGCCTTGTTAAATCAAACATTGTGCAGTTTTTTTCATCAGTAATTATTTCAGCAGACAAAAAAAAACAGCGCACCTTGAAGCTGCCTGTTCTCCTTCTCCATGCGGATAAGCAGCACCTGCTCCTGTATGGCCTTGCGCCACAGAGAGCGAAGCTCCTCCCGCGTCCGGCGAACAATAATGCCAGGGGTGGATGGCGGCTCCCCTGAATATTCTGAACATTCAATACCCCCAAATTATGTATAGTCACACCCGACTGCATATCAAAAACTATTTTCACACATGACAATGCTTTAATATGATTTCATAGAAAATTTTATGGCTACACTCAAACCTCATTATAACAAAGTTGCATACTACACAAAAGTAAGTTTGTTATATCTGAAATTCACTATAAACATACATTTCTGACACTTTATATATTACAGGACTGTTTTTCATTTACTTCATTATAACAAATATTTCGTTATATCCAGGTCTGAGAAGACATCACACAAAAATAACTGGAACACGTGATATACCGAACATGGGGCAGTGTGATAAGCCCTAAGATGTTGGCTTTCCCACCCAGAAAGTTCACTTTTCCTCACAAAAAAGAGAATTTCCCACGTGCATTTCAGAGACTGAGCAGTGTGATTATAAGGGTGTACACAAAGAAATCAGAAACCATCGCTAGCCACTGTACCACTGCCTGTTTTCTCCCATGATTCCTTGTCGCAGTTATTGTACACGGTCGCCGTTTGCTCCTCTACTCCCCTTGTTAACCCAATGGCTGCCATAAAACGTAAGGACCTGCCTGTAGGCAAAGCTGGCACTGATCAAAACAGTTGAACATAGAGGAAAGAAGTCTGGTGTCACCATGGCGTACAGCATCAAAAGAAGCAGTGGCGGGAAGCCAACAGGCACACCCAAACTTAGCACTAAAAATTCTGCTTTTTTTCTTAGGCTTTTATGCAACTATATGGTATATTGAACCGATTTTCGTTTTTTAGCAAGTTAATCATGTTGAACTGCACTGCATAATTTTAAACGAGAAGAGATTCTTTACAAGCTACATATAGGTGTTGAAAAGGTGATCGGTGATTACGTCTAACACAAAAGTTACGAAGGATGCTGGCTTACTTTAATACAGAATCATATATAAACATGCTTTTTATACTGTCGCTGTGAAAAGAAAAGAGAACCAGAAAAAATAACAATAGCAAATGTAGTAAAAGTAAAGAAATATCTGATTCAATTCGTATGATGTCCTACAATAAAATCTCGAGCAAGCACACCCGCATGGTCGCAGACTAAAATTCAGGATTGCTGAGGAACAGCCTCAGTGTGTAATGAACATCTGTGATGATAATGAAACGCTTTATTGAATATGCATGCATTTGCTGTTTTTACTGAACCAGGTGGAATCTTCGTGTGAAATTACATATGTTATCACAAGGGGGAAAAGATGGTATTCAAATGTTACGACTATCTGTAACAACTGAGAACACAACCCTGAGGCACCACAGTAAAAGTACTGAGAAATTGTGTACATATCTAAAGGCTCTCAGAACTTGTGTTCCTAGGAATTGCCGCTGCAGAATTCCACAGTGAAGAGCACATACTACGACATAGTGTACATAGTGTACAAAAAATTAACTCAAATGCTACAATGTTGACTAGTGCTATCCACCTAGGCTGGCCAAACTAGCTTCTAATGCAAGGCTTTTATTACAGCGAAAGATATCATGACATCACAACAAGGGTGGCGTGTGCTATAGTTGTCCACTGCCATTTCCGACGACTATCACATAAAATAAGAAAAAAACTAGGTAAATGAAAAACGCCAAGGACACAATGCGATTCCAAACCAGGTTCCCTGTGTGCCAGCCCAGAATTCTGATACTGAGTTACGCAGGTACTTGAAACTCCGTTTAAAACTGACCTTAGGCAGGCTTCATGTCAGGAAAGGAGTCGCATTATTGTGTGTAATGAATCGCTTTAGAACAGCAAAGGGACAGCCAGACATCACACAATGTGAATCGCATAAAAAGTGGGCTGTTGAATGGTACAACCCCATTACAATAGCACTAGGCATTATTCTTCATCGTCGTCAGCCACAGCATGAAAAAATTACATAAAATTTCTTACAAGTGTGTAGCGGGTAGTGCGCTTCTCGGAAGAATGACGAAGGATGGCATAGTGAATGTCTCCCTACTACACAAAAATTATGATTTATAGCGTAGTGGGTATCCTGCAGGTCTGCTTAAAGCAGTTAACCAGAGAGTGTATTAAACAGGCTCTGAAAGGTTGCTCTTCCAGCTTTTGCTGTGACTGTGCTGCATGTTCTGCGCAGGCCTGGCTTTTTTCTTCGTCCACCCTTTAAAAAAATAGACTCTGAAGAGTTGCATGCTTTTCACTCGCTTTTCCAAAATTTAATTATTCACATTAAAGAAGCACTGACAGAAAAATTTTGCTCTTTTTTTTTGTTGCAATGTGTAGCTTGCAACCCACTTATCGCGGCTGGAAAGCTCATTTACACAAGTGCACGACGGTTGTAGACAAGCTTTTAGAGCACCCGGTCTCGGTTTCAGTTTCAAAGAACTAGGCAGGAGCAGTTATGGGGGTAAGGTAAACACAGCTGGCCACGTGACACTGCAAAACCGTGACGACGACACTGTTTGTGACACTGCATGCGAGAGCGTGCGCCACACTGACAGCCAGCCCAGCCAGTGCACACGAAGCTGCAGGCATAAAGGAGGAAACCACAGGTAGTGCAAGCACATGCCGTTAGCCAGCAACGAGGCAACACAAACTCGTGACGTAGGTTTGTTTACATTGCCCCACCATAGATGTCAGCATCGAAAGGGGCTCCGCATCTCGCTCAGTCACACAACGTGCACTTCAAAATTGATTTTAAATATGTTCTAGGCTATATTTGCCCTTTATATCTTTAGATGTTGTGTATGTCTCCACATAAATATGTCTCGCTCATTATATCGCCTTCGAAATTTTGTGTCCGCGGGCCTTTAAAGGGTTTACAGACAAAATTTAGGTTGCTGAGATTTACAGTAAAAGTGAAAGATTGGGTGCTGAAATCAATTGACACAACCATCACTTCAGGCAGAAACTAGAGGAAAATAACAAAATCAATTTGTTTTTTACAAACTGCCGAATCTAGCTGCCCTGCTGTGAACCAGAGGAAATGACGTTTGGTGACGTTTTAAGAATTGAACACTAGCATACCAACAATGCCAACCGTCACCCACAAGAAAGTCAAGATGAGGAAGATGGACGAGAAATGCACAAACAGAGGGTGTGCACTAAAGCCGACGTTTCAAGAAGTGAACTTGCCTTTCTCAAGGCTGCAACAGTTGCAGCCTTGAAAAAGACACGTGCACTTGCCAAAATATTGGCTACAGCACCCATCCTCTGTTTGCAAATTTCTCTACTATCACCCACGTCTCTCAACCTGCTCAGTTCCCACTATGGTTCCAAGAACCACTGCGAATAGCACTGGCAGCAAATGTTACTCCCGACTGGTGTAAACTAGCAGCAAATGTCACTCCTGACTGGTGGAGGCCCATAATGATGGCACGCACTTCAGCACCTTTGTAGAAGGGGAAGAAGGAGGTGTAAAGGGGAGGTGGAAAAAAGGAAAGAAGACAGGAACTTGTGCACCCTACATGAGTCACGGTGAACATAACATGTGGCTCCTACTGAAATGCAGCCGCCGCGCGCTGACAATCCTCTAAAATTACAGCTAACTATTCAAAAATACATGAAATAAGCTCTGTTTATTGGAACAGTTGGGTCGTCTGAGTAAAATTTCGATGTATTCATTAGTTTTTTCAATTTTTGTTCAGTATCACTGTACAAAAGCTGCACTCTACATAGGCTTATGTATAATCTGCAAAATTTTTCTCCACACCAACTTTCTCTAGTAGTTTTCAAACGAGACATAATTCCTCCAAAAATGTTCATTGCATTTCTGTCTCTTAAACTGAACATGCCAAACCTTTGCTGTAATATAGTACAGCTGCTGCCATTCTGCCTTCTTACATACATAAAAAGGACACTTGTACGAAACTCCACTGGTAGCGCATACTTGTAAATCTTCGCATCCTGCGCTCTCGAGCGAGCAGTGGGTGCACTCTAGCGACACGGAGCGTGTGGACACTCAGTGATAATAGCAACATCATCATCACTAATTTTGGCCTGTTTTAATCCACTGCAGGACGAAGGCCTCCTCCAATGCTTTTCAGTTTAGCATGTCCTGTGCGAGCTGATTCCATTTTATTCCTGTAAATTTCTTAATTTTGTCATTCCATCTAACTCCTTGTCGATGTAATGCTTTTAAAAGTGCAGATATCTTTACTGAGCCCAAAGCCTTTTCATAGACTAGCAACAGCTATTGGACACAATGAAGACTGGCTAGCAGTGACTTCATTCAATAGCAAAAGCTTACCCCCATTGTGGTTGCTGCCTCGAACGGGCGTGTTCACACGCTGAAAGATAGACTGCCTGCATGAGGTTTCTTCAGTAGCTGCCTCAGTCGGCTCCTCATCACTCGAAGAATGGCGCCGTGTGTGTCCCACCTTCATGAATCTGTAGAGAAACAAAAGTTGTTCGTATTGAAAACAGCACAACAGCACAAGAACAAAGAAGAAAAAAACGACGAGACAGGCACTGACCCGCAACTAAAAACTTTATCACAAAGAACTCACAGTTTTATACAAGTCCTTTGGTGCTCAAGTTTTTCATGCACATATGGTGTTGACATACATGTGGCAGATTTATGCGCATGTTTGGTTTCACCCTTGTTTATTTTAACGGCATTATTGTGCACATGACATCTTCTTGTATAAAAGCCTGAGTTTTTTCTGATTACCTTCTTAGTAGCGAGTCAGTGCCTGTGCTACTGCGTCTTCTTTCTTCGTCCTCATGTTGTGCTGTTTTTAAGATGAATACCAACCAACTTGCCCAAATCTTCATTCTCCTAAAAAAAATCTAGCCAGCTACGCTTCGCGAACACTGCCGAAACAGCGAAGCTTATGTCCGTCCTTTATCAGGCCTGACCCTCACGTCTTACAGCTTTTTTTAACAGGAGAATGAAAAATGTGCACCATCTTCAAAGTGCCAACTCCTGAACACTGTCATTGACACGTTATTTTACACTCCACTGCGCTTCACCGTAGCACCATCTTTGTACATTTCTCGAATGTTCACCCCTCGAGATCCTCCGCCTTCACCCTCACCCTCACTCTGGCCAGCATGCCCTCACCTCTTGCAGCACACTCACTCCACCCCTACCTACAGTCTCACTTTCCCCACAATACAAGGTCACGTGATCAGTCTTACCACAACCTCGGACATGAAAACCTCGACTGACAGCTTTGCTGTTAAAAAGTTGTGTTTCCATGCCTCAAACTGGCAAGAACAAAAACAATGACAAGAAGTAAGTTGACGATGACTGTTGGCTAGCCATTAACGTCCCCAAAAAAGTAAGGTTGTAAGAGACATTGTAGCGGAGAGTCCCAGAAAATTTTAACCGCGTGGAGTTTTTCAGCATGCACCGAAATCGTGCAGTACATAAGGATCTACCACTTTGCCTCCATCCAACTGTGAATGCCACAGCTGGGATCTATCCTTGGGCCAGCAGCCAAGCCCTGCAACCGATTTTCCACCTTGGCGGAACACGACGACTGTCAAACAGTAGCTTTTCCATAGATATAAGTACTGAGGTATACAGCAACCGCATTTTACGCTCGCATCAGCAGTGTTATAGCGAATCCTGAACTCTTTTTTTTTTCCCATGTCCTCGCAAGCATTTTAGAACTAGTAGTAAACATTGCTTACATGTTCACCAGTGGGCTTCGCTTGGGCGTCTCTGGTGTGCTGACAGTAGAGCTGCGTGGTCGCAGCTGCTGTGGTGACGAGCTCCGCACTGGAGTGGTCGGGTCACAGCTGCCTTCTCGGGATCCCGTAGGCGATGCATCGCTGAGGGTAAGCTGTGCAGTTCACCAAACAATACAGCGTCCGTGTGAGCGACACTTCTTTAACAGGACTGTAGTGGCCGTCTCTTCTCTCACATTTCATCAAGACTGCTTTATTGTCATGGCAAAAAAAAGAAAAAAGATGTGCAGGCTAACTGGGATCGCAACCAGTTTGCTACCACCAAGTGTGTTGTAATAAATAACAAGAAACAACGAAGGAAGAGACAATGTGTGCGACTGTGCCCATTTTAATGTTTGTGGCATACCACACTGCACTTTTTCTTTTCTCACAGTCACAATTGCCAAAAGATGGCAAATGACCGTGCTTTCTTAGAATGCGTGACAGGTTGGTTGCCATAAGTGAAAGGAACAGAATAAGTGCAGCATCGAGACAGTTAAATAGAAAAAACATCAATCAAGACAGTATAAGAGCAAAAAGTAAAACGAAAGCACACATGACAACGAACGTAGCATTACTTGGAGATATGAAGACAATACAGAAACATGGAGAAGACAACACTGTGATGGCCAGGAATCTCGCATTAAAGAATAAGAGGGATATCATGACATGAGTGGTCTCATGACAATGAATGAAATGTATGTTTACTAATATGGTCATGTTTCTTTTTTTTCTGTCATTGCTAATCATATCTGTAAACCATGTGACCGATGCCAGCAATGAAACCTGGTGCTCCAAGAAGTAAGGTCTGCTTAAAATCTGTGCAAACATTTCCCACAGCTTTTCCATTTGTGTTTTAATTTATTGGTTCATTATTGTCTTTTTTCATTTGTGTTTTAATTTATTGGTTCATTATTGTCACTCAACCACCATTACCGGAAGGGTGGGACAGAATGCACTGTAAATGGCACATAAATGTTCATTTATTTCAACCGCAATACAAGCTACAACACTAATGAGTGCACATCAGGGTATGCTGATATCTGTACGCAAAACTATCCTGAGGCAGTTACGTAAACAGCAGTAGCATCACATGAGACAGCCACATTGTACAACCCTTCACTTCAAGATTGGTTAACATTTAGTACAGCACATTACAGCACGGTCATTACTCACTCGTATGCTAATTATGTTTAGTGTTACATTTAAAGAGAGATGCTACTGGAAAAAAAAAGTTTCACTAGTCTGTAGCATAGGGCAAAAAAATTTTGCTGCTTACCAAAGTGGCTGACTGGGCTAATTGGTTGTGCATACTTGAGGTTAACAGTGCAAAAAAATAACGCACGGCAGACAGGAAAAAAGACGAGACCTCATTTTTAATTAATACAAAGCTAAAGCAAGCACTACTATGAGATAAGCATTCCAATACCTCTTACATTACAATCTTTATTGTTCCTTAAAATGTGTTGTAAACATGTTCTTTTTTGTTATTTATCTTCTACAGTAAATGTGAAGCAATATGAGCCATTAATGGCTCATAACCATAAAAGTTTAGTGGTAGAAAAATTGTGTACAAGAAGAGCCACGATTGATTTTGATTTGATTGATATGTGGGGTTTAACGTCCCAAAACCACCATATGATTATGAGAGACGCCGTAGTGGAGGGCTCTGGAAATTTCGACCACCTGGGGTTCTTTAACGTGCACCCAAATCTGAGCACACGGGCCTACAACATTTCCGCCTCCATCAGAAAAAGAAGAGCCACATTTTAAAGATTGTCATGATATAAAACCAGAACTGTGCAACTTACTGTAAAACAGATTACATATCTGAAATCAGCATAAAAACATATGTAAGCAACAAGAATTTCACTGCCCCAGGCTAGGGATCAAGGAAACTTGTAACATCTCCCCTTAACTCGCGCCAGATCAGGCAGAGGTCAGAGCTGAACTTCTCGTGCAAACACTGGCAGAAAGACTCGTGCAAACACCACAGAAAACTAAACTTTGAGCACACACAACACGATACGGCACACACAAGCCACGGCACAGGACAGCATAAGTTGCTGTGAAGAGAAAGAACTGAAGCACAATGCGCCTCACATTGTACGCATACGAAGTGGCCTGATTAGCCATTCTGGTGGCTTGGAGTAGACAAGAAACTGTGTATAGAAATAAGGTGAGTACGTCATCGCAGTTCTTTGCATTATTTACCTTATGTGAAAGTGCCGATTCCACCGGCAATGAACAGGAAAGCTGTGAACAAGTCAATATCGCGCATGCCCTGCCTACTTACGGGCCTCGCGGTGCCCTTCTCGTTTTGTCCTGCATGGGTGGAAGAAAAAGGGCAGGCTCCATTGGCAATAAAAAAAAAAGTATGAGTAGCAGTGCTCAATTTGCAATTGGCCACCACGACACACGAGATTAACAAAAAGTGTTGTTTGCACCATTTATTAAGAGAAATAAAACACAAGCACTGAATATTATCAGTGGTATACTTATTTTTAACAATACACCTTAGACCACTTGTTACATGAAAACCCTTCAGGTGACACTGACCCTCAAGATAAAATTCTGATGTGCCTAAAAACTGATTAAATTATGAGGGCCACCATAGTGGGGGACTACGAATCAATTTTGACCGCCGGTGATTCTTCCATGTGCACCTAAATCTAAGTGCACCAGCATTTTTTAATTCATACCTATTGAAATTAGCTGCCATGGCCGGCAGTCAAACAAAGTCTTTGTGCATAGCTATACGATGTAATAGTAGCTGTTACATCAGAGCGGGTATCCTAACACCGCAAAAAAAAATGGCTGTTGTAAAATCATGTTTGGTAACTTCCCATAATGCATTAAAAAATGTGAGCTACTGTAAAAAAAAAAGCAGGCTTTCGTTTCCCTTACTTTAAATGCTTCCTCAGATGGAAGCGTGGCCGATCTTCCACGCCCCTCTCTGCCTCTTCTCTGAAAATGTGCGAGCAAAACAAAACTGTAAGGAAACGCATGCACTCCTTCCACTAAACAGTGCAGCAAGTGACAAGACTTCTTCTCTCCCTGCGCAAAGGAAAGAAGGAGAAGAAAAAATGACCTCCACCAGCGTAGTAGATGTCCGATAGAGTTAGCACGATTTTCGGCAAGTCTGTCTAGTACGAAAAGTTGCAAGATTTTTTACAAAGATGACTACATAAAAATCTGCAGCTACTGTATAAGTGTAGCGAAGGTTTGGCAATTCATCCACCGCAAAACTGATGAATCAATTTTATGACTTCACAAAAGATTAGTATTTGAACAAAATTCTGCGCTGAAAATGCAACTACTCACAATAATGTTTGCATGCATCTAGAAAGAAATTACCACAATTTTTTGCAATTATTTCAGGAACAACTTTGTTTTATCTAGTTTGGTGGCAAAGTAAATTTTATCAATATGGGTCAATGACAACATTGAACTGCATGGGTGCCTTCCAAAGAATGGAAATTTTTTCACCAAGTCCAGAAATTCGTGTAATCTCGTTTCATTACATCAAGTTTCAACTGTACTAAGTGCGGTCGGTGATGGTAACAACAATTTTAAGGCAGTAGAAGACAGGACATTACGCCAGTTATCCATGCTTGAATTTCAGTTTATTTGAAATGGCAGTGCAAACTATGACTACGCAGCCTTCGGCTGCAAAATTTGGTTGAACAAGAGTAAAGTTTATTTTATAAACCAAATGTTAAATGGCTTGAGCAAACAGCGTACCAGTAAAGCTACATATTTAGAGACTAACTTTACAGGGCATCTAGAAAAAATTGAAGAAACAAGAAATTAATGCGTCAAAATATTCCTCAAGCAGTGGAAGTGGCGAACCCCCACACCATTCAGGCAAAGCAGAGAGAGCGATAGCATTGTTAAAAGATTACCAATGAAGCCAGTCAGCTGATCCACCACCAGAGCAGACCTAGACCCACATATATAAACTATATCCTCATTCTGATTATCATCAATCCTCCAGCACGTATAGGAGTCAGTCTACAGAACGTTCACCCAAGAGGAGATATGAGCCAAAGACAGAAATAAACAGTAACGCAAGTGAAAAAGTCTTTTCTGTCATCCAACACCTGTAACTCTGCTATTATGGCAGCATTTAGAAAAGTATTACGGCTACACGTTTGTAGTAGACTTGTACAAAAGTGCAACACTCCAACTAAATTTCCACCTCTGGTTGGTTGAGGGGCCCTTTATGATTTACAAAGTAGTAAACCTTACTCAGAAGGTATGGCACACGTGCAAGGCACAGTGCATTGTATTGCTTCATTAAAGAAAAAAAAAACTGGCTTTTCGCAAGGTCACTCTGCTGACATCTTGTGACAATTCCAGTGACAAACTTCATGAGCAAAATGTGTTAGCTTTCCCATTGCAAAGTTCTTGCCAAGCCAATCACCACTACTTACAACGCGTGGCATACAATCGGTGATTTCGTGAATGGCAATCAATAAAAAGCAAATGCCCTCTCTCAACTGGGCAAAGACAGGGTGGTTTTCTCTTTATCTAGGGCTTTTCCAGTTTTGATTCTGTACAACTCGGGTTAAAGTAACATTAACAAGAAGTGCAGCTTTCTGCCTACGGCCTGAGAACTTCAAGCTTTACTGCCAGAAGCACTTGAGAAGCAACATGAGACTACCACTAGCAATTCCGCATGAGCTCAGTATCGCAACCGTTATTCAGTAGTGACCGGGAGTTCCGCACAGGTAGCTTGCAAATCAGACCACGAAATAACACGTACACCAAGCAATTTTATAGGTGAACCGGAGCACACACCAGAAACATAAATAGCGTTACTTGAGGCATAAATGTGTAAAGAAATGTAGACAGCAGCAGCAACAACAACAAAAGGAATAGGAGACGCATGATTAGTATCCACCTTGAGCCAATAAAAATATTCCGGATATATACAGGATTAAAACCACGGCATGCAAGGCACAGCATATTACAAAGCTCATGCAATGCATGCATCAAGTCAAAACAAGCCCATTTAAGCTCTAAGAAGCACCACTTAACATGCATCCCACCTTTAGAATGGTGTCAAACGAGTTTGTGATGGACTTTTTGGCCTTTTCCTTGAAGCTATCGAACACGAATGATGGCGTCTTTAGGTCCAGGAGTCCCTACAAAGCAAAGAGGGTCATACTTAACAACTTACACTTTCAGCTGTTCGATAAGCCAACAAGTATGATTGCTTGCCATTTTAACTAAAGCAGGATTCAAATGGTGGTTTATGCAGTCTTCTACATAAATTATAATGTTTTGCTTACACATTCTGCTCCATTTGTGTACAGCCAGCCTATGTAACAAGTTTAACTCAATACAGAAATGATTTGCTTGCATCTGATATTCATCATAACCCCTGTTCAATACATTTGTGGTCACAGTCTCAACACTGGACTGTATTATGCTGCTTCACTCTGCTCGTTTTAGGCCCCTGGCAAGTATTACACAGGTTCCAAAATAAATTTGAATGAGTTGCACGAACTCATTTGATTGCAAATGCCATTTTCCTCAAATGACCAAGAAACATTGTTACATGAAAACAACACAGGCAAGATTAAATTACATGGCACGTAACTACGGGCAGTAACAAGCACTTACCAATCTATCCCACATAAAACAGGGTACACAATCTTTTTCAGTTCCTCCAGAAGCCACCATGAATATACCCTGCTAAACTGAAATCTACATCTTTTTTTATAATATATGAAAGAATTCTTGAACAGGGAATGTTACTAAAGCTAATATTTCAATAAGTACACTAGTCAAAATGTTACTTTTAACGTCCTTCCTTGTTCAAGAATTTTTTTTAATCTCTTCAAGCTTTCTTTTTTCCTGAACCTCATTCTCATTTTCATCTTCTTCGAATGTAACTTAGCATGATCCCTAATGGCATAAGCACAAAAATGGACGATGTTCCCCGATTCAAAAGCAGCACTGCAATCCCTTTAGTCACATTAACGCTGTGGCCCGCACAAGCAAATGGTATTGATACGTGAGGTTTAACGTCCCAAAACCACCAAATGATTATGAGAGACGCCGTAGTGGAGGGCTCCGAAAATTTCGACCACCTGGGGTTTTTAACGTGCACCTAAATCTAAGCAAACAGACCTAAAGCATTTTCGCCACCATCGACAATGCAGCCGCCACAGCCGGGATTCCATCTTGCGACCTGCCGGGTCAGCAGCCGAGTACCTTAGCCACTAGACCACCGTGGCAAGGCAAGCAAATGGTATTGAGGTGCAAAAAAGGTGCACCATTTAATTGAGAAAAAACATGAAAGAACTTTTCTATGGCTTCCAAGTCACTACGGAATTACTGGCAATGGATGAGCTGATCATGCTGTATGACCGTTCAGCACATAAAAAAAGCCAAATGTTAATATTGCTTACCAGAACTGACGCTGCACGAAAGCTTCGAGTGCTTCCTCGCCAATTCACCACACTACAGTGGATTTAGCCACACTTCAAGCAAGCCTTCGATTTCCTCTAGGACTTCGCCCAGGTGACGCTACCCTCTTGTGTAGGTTATGGCTGAGTGTCACATTTACCTCTGTGTACGCATTCTGCATAGGAATAACTGACAACGCAACATGCGGCCACTTTGGCAGTGATAAAACTAGTACTCAACATATACTGTGAGCCTGCCCACAGTACTGTTCACGGAGGAAGTCGCTTTGCACCATGCTCGATAAATTGGATAGGCTGTGCAAGCTCTACTGCACTTTCTGCGTTCAACCAGTTTTTCACAACAGTTCTGATTCGAACGGCCCGCATGTGCGTGCATTTGTGTCTTTTGTTGTGCGTGTGTGTGTTTATTTTACCTCTTTCTCAGTCCTCTTTACAACCCCCATTTCCCCACCCCTGTGCAGGGTAGCAAACCAATTGCTCGTACCAGGTTATCCCCCCTGTGTTTTCTTCTCATCTATTTCTCTCTCTATGGCATCTCTAAGAGGACACAGAAGAGGGTAACAATAAATAACACAGCATAGCCAATCGGTAATGGAATTGAATACAAGTATCATTTAAGACGAATCATGCTAAACGTTGCTATCTGAAGCTGAACCCCAAACATACTCACCTCAGACTTCTGTGTGTGGCCATGCTTATTCTGTTTCTGCTCGTACAGGTTCCGCAGCAGCATCATGTAAAGCTCATTCTTGTCCTGCACTGTTCTGCAGTCATTCAACTGCATGCAAACAAAGCACAAATTTTCAATTTGATCAAGAAACCTGCTAAGCCAGACCTATAAAGTAAACTGCAGGCAAAGCGGCACTTATGCATTGATCTTCTATCAAGTCTCAGTGTGCAACCACAGCCAAATGCTTCACGTTCGAGTGCAGCGTACCCTTCCCCGCTACCTTTGAAATTTCCAAAGCTGAAACACTCACGGCAGTGCAGATGGTACTCTACGGCAATATAGCCAGCTACAAACCCAGAATAAATGCAAGCCCAATTCTTTAGTACTATGGCACACCTGTCATTCATCTGTGCACGAGAGTTATGCATTGTTGTTTCCGTTCTGACCATGAGTACTTTTCCACTGCTTGCGTAAGTAGTAGACATATCAGAATTAAAAGTTCGTTGTCTCTTACTAAAACGTTATGTTGGGCAGAGAGGTGAACTTGAAATCTTTTCTAAAATTTGGCGGAACATTCATGCTTTCAACCAAGAACTACAGTGACACAAACACATACAATCGAGTCCACTTATGACAATACCACACCACGTCCACCCCCTCAGAAGGTTTTGTAGCACAAGCACGGAAGTGCTGAAGGAAAAGGTTAAGAGCAAAAAATAGAAGGCAAGGATAGACAACACAAGCACTGAGTATACCAACTAATTTACTGCTCAACACACACACATATATATATATCTGTGTGTGTGTTTTGAGCAGTAAATTAGTTGGTGTACTCAGTATATATATATATATATGTGTGTGTGTATGTGTGTGTGTGTGTGTGTGTGGTGTGTGTGTGGTGTGTGTGTGTGTGTGTGTGCGTGCGTGCGCGTGTGTGTGTGTGTGTGTGTGTGTGAGAGAGAGAGAGAGAGAGAGAGAGAGAGAGAGAGAGAGAGAGAGAGAGAAAGAGAGGAAGAAGATGGACACATGCGGAAGCGCATTGCCATCGCCTGGCTCGCTCGCTCGGCTGTTCGCTCCCTGGCTACACTTTGCCTGCTGCTGCTGCTGCTATCTTCCCGGTTGCTGTGTACCTCAATAAACCCCCATAACAAGTGGTGGAGCTGCTGAGTTGCGCCAACTGGAACTTCGAAGCCGGAAACACGAGCCAGCCTCTGCAATGCCGGATGAAGTACCAAATCAACCACAGCAATAACCTGCTGTCCTGGTGCCCACATTAGTCTGCCCTGGCCCATCGCGTCAACGCGACCCACCAATCATCAGCGTTACAGAAGAGGAGGATGTTGAAGACAGGCTCGCCGAATACGAACGGGTAAGCGTGATCAACCACTGGGATGGCGTTGCAAAGCTCAGCTACGTGTCATTTTATTTTGAGTGGTGTCGCCAGCGTGTGGCATCGAAACCACTAACGCGACTTCCCGACGTGGGCTGCTTTCAAACCGCACGTGACTAAAGTATTCGGGCGCCCCGCTGTTCGCAAGCTTCGAGCAGAGCAACGGTTGCGTGGCCGCTTGCAGCAGAATGGTGAAACATTCACCAGCTACATTGAAGACGTCGACCTGTGTAACCGTGTTGATGTCGCAATGGCCGATGCCGATAAGATCAGGCATATCTTGAAAGGAATTGAAGACGTCTTTCAGATGCTGCTGGCAAAAACCCGTTCACAGTGTCTGAATTTGTCAGTCTTTGCCAAAGTTTTGATGAGCTGCGGAAACAACGCACAGCCACGCGCCGCTCTCATCCGCAGGTGACTTCAATGTCGGGATTGCCTGTTGCTCCTGACAACTCATCTCTGCTGCAACAGACTACGGATTTCGTTCGTGAAGAGGTCGCTCGCCAGCTTTCGCTGATGCCGCCTGTTCACGACCATTCGAATTCCCCGTTGGCGCCCCCTCTCCAAAACATCATCAGGGACCAGGTCGCCAAAGAGGTATCACTTTCGCTTCATCAGGCTCCGACTGCTGCTCCCCTGACGTACGCCGCAGTCGCTTTCAGGCCTGTGTTGCAAGGTTACCGCCCTCGTAGTCCGCCTATTCGCCCGCCAGTATCGCCGCCCGCCCGCCCAGTCATACAGTACGCACGAGCTGACGACCCTTGGCGCACGCAAGACAACCGTCCCATTTGTTTTCATTGTGGCCTTGTTGGAAATGTGGCCCGTTACTGTCGCTTCCGTGCACCACCTATCTCCAACAGTGTGCATCCACCATTTGTCACGTATGCGACCCATGGTGTACGCATGGTTATTCAGACGACTACGAATCTGATCCTACCTCCCGAATCCCACCCTCCTCTCGCCGCTCGCCTTCTCCTCGCCGCCGATCCCTTTCCCCCATGCACCGACGATGGAGCCCTGTGCGCAGGAAAACTAAGCAGCGCAGTTCAGGAGGCAAGAACTGCGGTTCCGGCGAAATGCATAAGGCCTCAAATTTCTCCCCGAAATGTTATTGAAGTCGCTATAGATGGAACATGGACGCTAGCCCTTGTTGACACCGGCGCTGCCCTTTCTGCGATTGATGCCCGCATTTGCCGCCACATCGGAAAAGTCATGACGCCTGTTTCTGGACTATTCCTGAGTACAGCCAACACGCAGCACGTCGAGCCATCCGGTGCCTGCACAGCGTGTCGTCATCCAGGATGTACCTTTATGTCATCGAATTCATTGTGCTGCCATCTTGTTCTCACGTCATAATATTAGGGTGGGATTTCCTTTCTACACATTGTGCGATCATCAATTGCGCCCGCACTGAACTTGAGTTGTTTCCATTTTCGACAGATGTCATCAATGACAAGGACACATGTCGCAAAATCACAGTTTGTGACGAAACCATTGTGTCTGCCCAGTATACTGTTCTTGTTTCCATCTCTTGTGACTCTGAAGACAGCGGCTCAGGGCTTTTCGCACCGTCTGCACTTCTAGTTCGCCGCTGATCACTGCCATTGCCATTTGATGTTCTCGAGTTCCATTCAGGCGCCTCTGTCAAGTACATCACCAATGCATCGCCCGAGCCAATCACTTTGCGACGCCAGGAAACCCTCGGCAAAGCCGAGCCGCTGGCGTCATCTTCGATATTCGACACCATGGACGACCTTACTGATATGGCCACCCTCGAGACATCAACACCTCGGCCACTACCGCGATCTTTCACACCACCTATAGCCAGCGACCTTACGATGACACAACGAGACCAACTTCTTCGCTTGCTCGACGATTTTTATCGGCACCGGAAGCCATGTGCCCATTCGACAGGGTCCTTACCGAGTATCGGCGAGTGAGAGGCGCCTTATCGATGACCAGGTGAATGACATGCTTAAACGCGGTGTCATTCAACTTTCCAACAGTCCTTGGGCATCACCTGTCGTCCTTGTTTGGAAGAAAGATGGCACAATACGATTTTTCATCGATTATCACCGGCTTAACGAGATTACCCAAAAGGATGTGTACCCGTTGCCACGAATTGATGACGCACTTGACTGTTTCTTCCTTGGATCTCCACACTGGCTACTGGCAAGTGCCCGTGGCTGCGACTGACCGCTCGAAAACCACGTTGGCAACACCAGATGGATTATACGAATTCACTGTAATGCCATTCGGTCTCTGTAACGCGCCCGCCACCTTTGAACCCATGATGGACAGCATATTACGCGACTTGAAGTGGCACACTTGCCTCTGCTATTTGGATGATATTGTCGTCTTTGCGCCACATTTCTCGACCCATCTATAACGGTTGCATCAAGTTTTGACTTGTGTCCAAAATGCCGGTCTCCAGCTTAATTTGAAAAAGTGCCTATTCGCCGCAAGAAAACTATACTAGGCCACATCGTCTCCAAAGAAGGCATTCTTCTTGATCCTGCTAAACTTAAGCCGTATCCAAGTTTCCGAAGCCCACTAACCTGAAAGCACTGCGCACCTTCATTGGCCTATGCTCCTATTTTCGGTACTTCGTTCCTAATTTTGCTACTGTCATCGCACCTCTCAATGCACTTTGCCAAGGCGACAACGAACTATCTACCTGGTGTTATGACCGTCGTCAGTAGGCGCCATGCTGTCGCTGAGAAGCGTAGCCGGGCAGCGCTCCCACGCCTGGAACCCCAGTTCTCTCGGAACCACAGCCAGAGCTGACGGGGGAGCGGCGCTCTTTTAATCCTGTTCTTTTAATCCTATACCTCTCAAGCATAGGCAGCCGACTGGCCGGCTGCCTATGCCCGCCAGGTATAGTCCCTGCTAGCCGGAGGATGAGACGTCGTGTCGCCACGACGCCGTAAGCCGTTCCAGAGTGGACAACAAAGACAGCATCTTCCTTGGAAGAAACCGCGGCCACCGCCACAAATTGCCTTGCTGATTGAGCGAACAGATCGGCGGACCATTTGATGTATGATGTCAGGAGCTTGGGACCCCTCAACCAGCGGCACACACGCGACAAGGAAGAGCCCCGCTGGCGCCACCTTGCAGTGCAGTGATCATGACTCAATATTGGATGTTCACGTGGGCCGTGCATGCTCGTACTCCTCGCCTGTTGTGTGTGTGTGATTGGTGTTCCACTCAAGAAGGAGGAGCCCGACAGGGCTTATAACGACGCCGCAGAGTGCGGGACGTCGCTCTGAATCATGTAACAGTTCAACCATCACGCTTGTGGTTTGTGAAGCTCTCAACCTCTCTATGCTGTAAATAAGTGTAAATACTGCCATAAACCTGTTTTTTTTTCGTATCCCCATCTTGTCAACATTCGTTTCCTCCACACGAAGTTACACCACACTACCACAAGAGACCGGGTAGCCCCCGATCCGCCACAACATGTGATCGGCGCTGGGATTCGGAGCGACTACTGGAGAACAGCGCCGAGAGCCACGATAACTGGTGGCAGCGGTGGGATTCACAACAACTGGTGATCAACGCTGGGATCAGAAGCGACTACTGGAGAACAGCGCCCAGAGCCACAACACTGGTCAGAAGCTTGTGACGATGCGTTTACGACACTTCGACGCTTGCTTACGTCTCCACCAATTTTGCGTCACATCTCTCCGAGCGCACGCACAGAAATTCACACTGATGCAAGTGGTGTCGGACTTGGTGCTGTGCTCGCACAACGTGACGATGCCAACGCCGAATACATGGTTGCATATGTCAGTCGTGCACTCACAAAACCCGAGACCAATTACACCGTAACTGAAAAAGAGTGCCTGGCCATCATATGGGCTCTACAGAAGTTTTGCCCCTATCTTTACGGTCGTCCTTTTGACGTCGTAACAGACCACCACACTCTGTGTTGGTTGTCAAACCTCAAGAACTCGTCAGGTCGCCTTGCTCGGTGGGCCCTCCGACTCCAGGAATACGACATCCGTGTCGTATATCGTTCTGGCCAACAACACTCTGATGCTGACGCCCTGTCACGCTTCCCATTCAATTCAGACGCCAGCGCATCTAGTCACAATCACAATATTTCGCCACTCGACATCTTGGACATGGCCTCGGAGCAACGAAATGACCCTTGGATCGCCACAATTCTAAACTTTTTGTCAAGCCCCCTGACCACCCCGGCTCCACGAGCGCTACGCGGCCAAGTGCAGCATTACGCTATCCGCGATCGTCTTTTATACCGCCGTAACTACCACAACGATATCCGCACATGGTTATTGGTCGTGCCCCACCATCTTCGTCGCGATCTCTGCTCCGCTTTCTACAATGACCTTCAGTGTGGCCACCGTGGCGTGTTTAAGACATACATGCGCCTTCGCCTACGCTATTATTGGCGCAGAATGTACAGCTTCGTCTGCAAATACGTCCGCTAATGCCTCGCCTGCCGACGACTCAAACCAATCTCGCACCTCTCCACAACACCTCTCCAGCCGCTTCCCTGCCCAGCCCACCCATTTGATCGCGTCAGCATTGACTTTTACGAACCTCTCCCATGCACTGGCGCTGGAAACTGCTTGATTGTCGTCACCGTTGACCAGTTGACAAGATAAGCCGAAACCGCTGCATTACCTGCCGCAACAGCCAAGGACATTTCCTCATTTATTCTACGCAGCTTTGTTCTCTGCCATGGCAACCCTCATGAACTGCTCAGTGATAGCGGCTGTATATTTCTCTCAGACGTGTTGCAATCACTCCTATTCGAATGCAGAATTATTCACCGCACCACTATCGCATATCACCCACAGACAAACGAATTGACGGAACGATTTAACCGAACTCTGGGTGACATGTTGTTGATGTATGTTGCGTCAGACCACTGCAATTGGGATCTTGTTCTTCCGTTTGTCACATTCGCCTAAAACACCGCCTCCCAAGCCACCACCGGATTTTCACCATTCTTCTTGCTATATGGCCGTGAACTCACTAGCACCATCGATACGATTCTGCCATATCATCCAGACGTTGACAACTACCAGCCTGGGTCTGCGGTGGCTCACCACACCGAAAAATGCCGACAACTGGCCCGTTCTTTCATCTACGACCAACTGTGTCACCAAAAACAGCGTCACGACTCTGACATCCCTCCTGACCCTTTCACCGTCGACTCTCTCGTGTGGCTTTGGGTCCCGTCAGTTGCTGCTCCCGGCCTTTCGTCTAAGCTTCTTCCGAAGTATTACGGACCCTACCGCGTGGTTGCACAGACCTCTCCTGTTAATTATGTGGTTGAACCCGTTACGCCATCTTCCGACCTTCGTCCTCGGGGACGAGAAACAGTCCACATTAACCGTCTCAAGCCGTATTATGACTCTCTGACCTCTCTCTAGGTCGCCAGGATGGCTACCTCTCGATACCGGGGGTTATTGTGAGGAAGATGGACACATGCGGAAGCTCATTGCCATCGCCTGGCTCGCTCGGCTGTTCGCTCTCTGGCTACACTTTGCCTGCTGCTGCTGCTATCTTCCCGGTCACTGTGTACCTTAATAAATCTCCGTAACAATATATATATATATAATAAAACATTCATCAACAGGCGAAGTAGCATTCTTTCTGAACTTCCCTCACACAGCTGCCACTCTGGCCTCGTCCGTGAGCGTGATCGCACCAACGCTGACTCCCACCACTATACTCAGCAACGACTTTTGTTGACAGCACTGTCTGTGGTGGCTACAGAACTAAAGCGCATGCCTGCTACTGCATCGAAAAAATAGTACTCTAGATTACTGATAATTTTCTCATTTGCCTTGCAGAATAAAATGCTGCTTTAATTATTACGAGACTGAAACAGTTGCGGGAAGTTGTAGGTAAAATATGGTTATTGTACACCTTGCAAGAATGCTTTCCTTTTCTTTCCATTTCTTAGACAGCACCACCTTTTCAGCCCACCAGTTTTCCAAAAAAACATGGTATCCTTAACATGCGACCATGTCCTTGACATGAGTATGCAGCCGCAAGCACCCTGTTTCGCTCAAGAAAAATATACTCGTAATAGGACACTGAAATAAACACTGAACAATCAAAATGCTTCTCTCATTAATAATTTTGATCTACATATGTTTGCCCTTGCCAAGTATAGCTCGCTTACTTGCCGTTGTGCGTGCCATGCTTTCGCTGTTTTTCAACTCAACTGCCTCCATTTTAGCAGCCTACCCAGGTGCTGTCGTTCTAAAAGGCCCCATGATTTACACAGCCCCCCGGAATTTCGTTTTTACAAAGGACCTTCCACTCAGCTACGTGGAGCACCTAGATGCTCACGAGAAAGATGCACTCCAGCTACGTGTGAAGCAGTAAAAGCTGACAGACTATCCCCCGTATTCTAGAACGTCCCTTCACTGAACGCTTCACCTTGACTTGAGAAAGCCGATGGAAGCGCCATCTCTAAGAACGGCAAGTCACGGCATTTCAGGGATAACCTGCTGCGATTTTCAAGTAGCGCAGCGTCATTTTCAGCCGAGCAGTGGCGCGCTGCTCAACTCCGTCAAATGAACAATGAAAGTCGAGTCGAGGAGCGTTCGTGAATACGGGGGTAAGACTTTCCTGCAAACAATCACATACGGTTACACTACTTCTAAGTGCATGCAAATAAAATGTTTCAATCTCTCTTTTGTCTTTGTTCTCTTGACCCACTTGTAAAATTATTGGTAAGAGCAACAGAATTTTCTAGTCACGTAGATATCATTATAAGTGGACTGCACTTATGCGCACGAAGAAAGCTAGCTTCATCTTCAAAAAGGCACTTTTAAACACTGACATGGGACAAAAGAAATACAGTACATGATGCAATGAGTCACATTCAACAAAGCCACTCGGTAATGTGTTTATTGTGTCATGTACTGTATTTTTTCATCCCTTAACTGTGTTTACAAAGCGCACTTTTGAAAATGAATCAACAGCAACTTGCCCACCTTATAGCTCTTCTCAAAAGTCACCTGCTTGAAATACCCAAAAGAGGCTTGCTTGATGTCACGAAAATAAGCAATTGCGACTGGACGGGTATTTATGCCCATTCTCTCTCTGTGCGACAGCGACCACAATGGCAGAGCTTACATTCTAATGTTGCAACCGAGCATAGTGAATTCTCGTTGGAAGGGTACAAACAATGTGACAAGTGGCACTAACTGACCCATTATTAGCAATAGGCAACATTGAGCAATTCAGGCGGCCACCTCAGAACTAATGTTTACTGAATAATGAAGATGCGGCTGTGTAGGATCGCCACCATAAAATGCGCTTCACGTAAAACTGGTTTTCCAGAAGCACATTGAACCTGAAGACATTCGTGTATTACTAACCTGGTATCTGGCGGCAATGATCTGCTTGTCCGAGTCAGACAAGTTATGGATGTACCTCTGGATGGTGGTACAACAATCCTCTGGGGAAAGTCCTGGTGAAAGGAGCAAGGACAAATAGTTTTATGTCTTGCCTGACCTCAAAAAGCAGTGACACAAAACTTCAAGCTCGAGATGCGGCCTTGATTCAATAGATTGAAATGCTAAAGTTTTTGCAGCGAAGTGTGAATTGTGTCCATTACATAGAAGTTATTTCGTTTCGAGGGCAAACAGCATGCGAAGGCTCAACAGAACATTCAGCACCCTGTGACATCAACAGTATTATTATGCGTGCAATGAGCCCCCACACCATGCCCCAGACATTGGGTGTTAATGCATTAGTGACGGTAACGTTGATGATCTCGGAGTTGTCATCACGATACCAACTGGCAGTGGTTCTTCAATTGCCTGCGTAAGTTCATCTAAAATTTTGCGTCTTAACAGCACGACTTGGAATGATTTTTGGTCGTGTACTCGACAGCGTGTGATCATTTGGAGCGACAACTTGAATAGCATTATGTGCCAGCACGCCGAGAAACAGTTGTTCATGAATTAGACCAGTGGCGTTTCAAGTACTGCAAGGAGGAGGTCTTTGTAATAGAAAGCACCAACAGCGTGTTATAAAGGTTTCCAGGTATAAGTGCACAAGCAATTTATGTCTCTCAAAATGTCTTCACAATGCATCGAATGTTGTCTTTACACCCACAGAATGTGCTGTTCTTGAAAGTTTGAGAGCAGCATGGGCAAGACGTGCCAACACGAGACACTTAGCTGAGGACGAGATGTGCAGGGCATCGACAGCGTGCATGTGTTTGGGTGGTTGGCAAAACCAGGTGAGCATGGAGTAATGAAAGAATTTGCAGGCGTGAACGGAGGTATTTTACATTTAAAATGATCTACCGTTTGTGTTGAATAAATCGTTTGGTGTGGTTCATCACCGTACAGCTTATGTTTGTGGACAAAATAGGAGCTCCTCTCCAGAACTTTTCTTCCGGTTCTGTGTTTATAGAAGCCATCAAAGCCCAAGCGTGCATCTCCAGGTGCCTGGTCATTGCTGCTTGAACTAGCTTTGATGTCAGAATCATTGCTTTGCAGATGATTCAAGCTAAAATTATTTGAGACGTCGCCAATAGGAGCTATTCCTAATATCTCAGTATTTTCTTCACTTGTAGAAACTATGACCGTGGCTGCAACGATGGTAATGACGAAGACATGACTGCTAGGGCTCATCTAGCAGACAAAATGTCAGTAAAAACACGCGCCAACATTTTGTGTGGCCACGTCATCAATTGGGGCCGTCTCGGGGTGTGACCGCGAGCCAGCGCTGAAAATCGGCAGGCACTGCACTCGTTTTGAATCACACTCAATGGTCATACTAATCAGTAGTATTACAGATATTGATTCAACCCTCCGTTGCAATATGTGTGCCGAATAGTTACTAGGGGGTCTATAATCACATCTGGACAGAAAAAATGCGACATGTGAAAAGTTGACGCCACTGCTACTTTAATATTCAAAGAGCAGCCCAAATAGTAAAAGCGTACACAATGCCTCTAGTGGACAGTAAGAACGTCAAGATGATATGAACGTGGAAGAAATTTAGCAGCAAATCAAACATCATCCCTCATTACAAGATATTAAAATGAAGTTAGCTACAAAAGCAAACGATGACACAGGATTCACATTCGTTCTAGTGCTGTTGAATCATTCCTGATTAACTAATGCCTGATTGATAGCCTAGCAGTGCCCTCATACCTAATTATAGCTTCGTACTGTAAACACACAACAAACAAGTCTTTTGAGAGCTTCCTTTTTTTCATACTCTTTCCTCCTCTTCATTCGCTGAGCTGCATAATCCTAGCAAATTTACCCTTCCTTTTGAATAAGCTGCAATGTGGCTCAGTGTTAGTTAATTTTACATGAATATACTAATTAACCAGTAATCATGCTGAAACACAGATACAAACTTCAATTATGAAGTCCAATGACAGCTAACTCAAGTTTCAAACAGCAGTCCTACAAGAAACTTTTAGGCGAGTCATCAATATGTAGTGGACTTGTACAAAGAACAGGGGCAAAGGTCAACCTCAAGAATGAAAGTGAAAAATAAAAATAAAAACATAGCAGTACATTTGCATAAACAACGGCAAAATACACAACATGTGCAGCTCATCTCGGCAACCACATGAACAGGTACCTGCACAGAATCACCACACATACCTTCCAGATCAAGGCAAAGTTTGTGGAATCGATGCATTGGACAGGAATCGCACAATGATTGCACTGCGGAGCCACCCTCTTTTTGCACATGGCTCTGATGTGCACTGCGAAAGGCCTGCTTTAGCGTCTGCATTATCTCGTTTGCCTGCAACCAAAACCATTTTGTATAAGTGGAGCAAACAGCAAATTGATGACTTCAAGTGAAACTGCTTGAGAGCTGCAAACTGTACACACGACTGTGTCAGTTAAGAACATTGGCCCACGTGCAGTGTAATTAAGTTTAATGTTAAGCAACTCCCAAATTTAGGGGAGGACGCTACTCGAAAAATACAAGTCTTCTTCAAATTACATACTTTTTTGTTTTCACTTGCTTTCACAAGTACGCTTTTTTGTGTTGTTTGCTGTGTTCATTGCTTTCTAAGTAGAACATATTTCAAAATAGCGAGTCAGTTGTGAGTAGCCCAGGTTCCGTCCTCTTTCTGTGGTCCCTGTCAAATCAGCTTCACTGAGCGTAACAAACCAACTAGCTAGAAACTCTGTTCTCTTTGTTCCTCTAGTTTCATGACAATAGAAATAAAGATTGTAATTAAACTCGAAGTAAGTTAAAATCACTTTTAAAGAGCACGGTTGGCTACTAAAAAGTGAAAAGAGCTCATTATCTAGAGTCCCTTGGAAAATGTCCACTGGCTGCTTGCTATTACATTTCGCTTGAGGAGTTCGCCAAAGCGATGCTAAATATAACCATAATACCCAAGATTTCATGATGGAAGAAATCATTTTAAAAAGCATATCATTGCCACATAGATACGTTTTTATTTGTGCACTTAAAAGCGTTTTTCTCAAAATGCAATCGTGGGCTCCTTTTTGAGATAAGACAGCATGTTTTGGTACTTGGTGATGGCCAGATTGAGATGGAGTTTTTCCCGCATATTCATTGACATGTGAAGAGTGGAGTCATCCTGATAGCACTTATTTGAAACTTGATAGCACTTATATAATTATTATGCACTTAAAGTAAGCAATTACCACATGGGCTGAGCATTTAAGCACTTCTCACATTACATTTTTCTTGATTATTAAATGTCTTATAGGCACCTGCTTGTTAGTATTGCATTGTATAGTTAATGTGGTGCAATGTGAGCTATTCATGGTTCATAACCATAATCTTTTAGTAGCAGAAAAAGTGTGTCCAAAAATAACTATATTTTACACATTGTCATCGTACAAAACAAGAACTAAGCAACATACTATATTAAATATTTGAAATCAGCATAAAATCTTTTGTGAACAGCAAAAATTTTATTACCCTAGGCTATAACTAAGGAATTTTTTTTCGTGTAGCATCTCATCGTAAGAGAAATATTGAGCCAGATCATGCAGGGTGAGCACTGTGGTGAGCATTGTAGGCACTGGCATAGCCAGGTGGGGGGAGAGATGGAGGAGAGATTCAAACACCCTCCTCTGAAATGTTTCAACTTTGCATGAGAGTGTGTGTGTGCGTATATATATATACACATGCATACAGGCACACACACAAATGCGTACACAAGCACACATAAAGTATGACAGAACCCCCCCCACCCCCCCTTCGAAACGAATTTCTGGCTAGGCCACACATAGCAAGTATGTTATTTCCTGTCGTACTTTCACTGTTATTTACCTGCATTGAAATTGTCTTTTTTGTTAACTTGTATATTCCCTCATCATCTGAATGATATACCCCTGTTTTCCACATGCATTATCCACAAAACTGTTACTATACACAGAACTATTACTTATGCTTGTACACACTGCCTTTTTTAACACTGTACATGGCAGTATCTTAGCGATGAAGTTCGTTTTCTGAGGGGGGGGGGGGGGGGGGGCAAGCTTTCTGTCAGGCATTCTTGCCTTGTGGTGATCCCCTAGCTACCTGGACCTTTATTGATGGCACAAGCGCCGAGTACCGCTCCAGTTTATCTTATAAGCACTCCCGGATGAGCAGTTAATTTTCTGAATATTCTGAAAAAGTCTTCTACAAAACAAAACTTGTATGAAATCAATGGTTCTGGTTAAAAGTCAAGAGTTATAATGAAAACACACTATATCGAAACATAGGTTTACTTAAGATGAGGTACATCAACTGTCAGAATAATTAATAAAAGTCAACAGCATCATTTCATTGAACAGCAGACAGTTTTCCTGTGAGCAGCTAACATTCGAATGGCCTGTATGTTCATGTTAGCAATTACATTGCTATCAATTCTTTACATTGGTACTTAAAGGATCCCTGACAGAGTAAGTTGTTTAGAGACTTTTTTACAGTGGTTTGTAGCTTTAGCGTGTGATTATGCCAAAATTGAATCGTAAATACTCTAACAGATTGTATAATTTATGCTAGTGTTGTTGATTCTGAACAATTTTGCGTCAGTTCGAGGTGCCCTGCCTAGACACCATAACAAACCTAGCAGCCCCACAAAGAAGCAGTGCCTGAAACCACGTGCGCTTAAGCTTTGGTGATGCTAAGTGTGCTGTTTTCAAATAGGGAGACCCGCGGCTGGTGAAGAATAAACAACTGTGGATGCTTTGAGCATTTCCCACTCAGAAAAAAGGAAAAGCATTCCTGGCTTAAGCAGCCAAAGCCACCTTGAGATTAGCCCGACAACCCAGCGAGAGTGGGGACGACCAATAGTTCTTGCCGGCTGCCAACCGGAGCACTGTGCCCACCCTGCAAATGTTCTCTGACACCAATAATGCTTGCTTGACCTTTGCAACGTCCCGAGGGGTCTCCCTATCTATGTCAAACTACAAAAATTGTCGATTTTACCTGAATACTTGGACGAGCACACATTCTTACTTTAAAACCAAATTTAAAATATCTTATAGGCAACGCTCGTCACTAATAATCAGTCAGAAGTGCCCCCACATGGAGGACCCTCAAACAACACAAGCATCTGGAGTTTACTAATTTGGTGCCAGGGGGTTTTTTAACTAGAAAATGATAGGCCCTGAAGCTTTGTTAATGTCCGAGTTGCAAGTTGTCGCTACCATTGTCATTACAACTCTTCCATAACACCTCTTACTCGTTGCACCTCTCTGGTAATGCACAATTAGGCAAATGGTTGTCCATTTACGGAGAAGCTAAAACACTTTTACATAAGTTATATTACTTGTTCACATCTTTGCCAGAACATAACGAGAAGAAGGAGGGCCTGTGCATTGACTAACAAAACAGGTTTGATTGATATGTGGGGTTTTAACGTCCCAAAACCACTTCATGATTATGAGAGACGCCGTAGTGGAGGGCTCCGGAAATTTCGACCACCTGGGGTTCTTTAACGTGCACCCAAATCTGAGCACACGGGCCTACAACATTTCCGCCTCCATCGGAAATGCAGCCGCCGCAGCCGGGATTCGAACCTGCGCCATGCTAACAAAACAGGTTGCTATGGGAAACAACTATGACACCTCCCAGACTTGCATTCTAGATTCTGCATATATTCCATCTATAAATACATAAAATCTTATCAAATGAAATCAGCTCATGGAAGTGATAAGCATGTGAAATGGAAACTATCAAACATAAAAATAAATAAATTAAGTAATTAATTAACAAAAGGTAAGAACTCCTAAAGCCTGCTGCAAATGACTGGGTGAAAATAATGTGCTGAAATGCCCCTGTAGTAAGAAAAAATATAATCATAATAATTGTTGGGCGGGGCTTCCAAAAACCACGATATTGTTTTGAGAGATGACGTAGCACAGGGCTCCATATAAATTTGAACAGCTGGGGTTTTTTGACGCTCACCTAATCTAGTGCACAGGCCTCTAGCATTTTGCCTCCAATAAAATGCAATTACTGAAGCTTGGATTCCATCCTACGACCATCAGGCCAGCAGTTGACCAGTTAAAACCACTAGACCACTGCAGCGAATGGTGTAAGCAAAAGTGGCCACCCTGATATAGTACTTAAGCCTCCTAATCATTCCATTAACGTATGCCACACTCACCACTTGCACAGAGGAGCACTTGAAGATGTAAGCGATGTACTTGTCAGTCGAGGAGAGTGTGGAATCACGGCAGTTGAACCCAAAGTGGTCAGCATACTTGATGCCCTGGTAGCAGCGCGAGATGTCAGTGAAGGGTCGGCTCACTAGGATCTGCTTGCGATCGGTGCTGAGCAGTCGCAGCTCCCTCTGCATCACCAGCAGAAGCATGGTGCGATTGCTGCGCCGCTCGGACTGCAGAAGTCGACGGAGATCCACAGCACCTCCACTGCTCACACGCGGCCGAAACGTTGGCAGTGACGTCTGCTTCGTAGGCCGTGGCTGGTCGCCGCTTACCGACCGCACCCGTGCTGACGAGCCCCGAGTCGCACTTGTTGCAACTAAAAAGCAAGAAAAGAAGAATATCACACTAAGAATTCCCTGAATGGCTTTCTACCGAAGAAAGCACATTTCGTAAGCTGTAAGCATATGAAGCTACCATGTAACTCATATACCTCAAAAATACAAAACTGCTTGGAGCAACTTACTACAATAGATTGCATTGGCTACGATGCAAAGTGGTAGCCAGTAGACCTTCATCATCAATGTAAAGTTGCCTCTCCTGTGAGGCGATTTGCAAAGCTAATAGCAGCAGTCTTTGCATATTTTATTGCCATAGCAATTATATGAACTCTCTTAGTGGGCTTTTTTCCCCATTGTGGTCATGTTCAGTATAAAGCCCACATTGATAACATCCCCCAGCACATTGTATGTTCTGCCCAAAAGTAAGCATGTGAGGGGGGGGGGCAACAATCGCGGCTGAAGCCGACCCGATTCCATCACTCATACGGCGCGTACAAGAACATCAGTCCACGTGCAAGGCCTTCCATCAAATGCTGATCAAGCAGAGAAGTGCCCCGCCAATTCGAAGGAGCGTGAAAGAATACAAGGGGGAGGGGGAGAATTGTGCAATCAGCATTTAAGGGCATAGTCGCAATCGCTCGCACGCATCAGCGGAGGACGACTTGTATACCCTTCAACGTGCTGCTGCTGTGCTCTTAATGCCAAGAGACGGCAAAATCCGCTTCTCTCTCTCTAACAGTCATATTTTCTTACATCAGCGTTTCATAGTTATGTGATACTGGATCTAAGAGAGTTAGCTGCCGACCTTAATTCATATAAAATTACAATTTGTTGGTATCACATTCATTGCTTTGCCCATCCAGTGAAGCTGCGACTTTTCACAAACATCAAAACTGAAGACTTTGCTCTTCTGCTGAATCCTTGTACAAAAAACAAGCCGGCGCATATGCGACTGGCATTTGATTGGAACCATCACTAGTCCTGCCATTATAGTATAGGCAAATGTACAATGTAAAGAAGCGCATCTGTGAGTTAGGAAAATGTTCCAGTATTTAATATGTAAATAACACTGCTGGCCACTGCTCACAAGGGCAGCACTCACCATTCTGCAGCTCTTGACAGAGTGCCTGGCGAGACTGGGTATCCAGGCTATGTGTGTGGGTGATTAGTGTGTGAGGCGGTGGTGCAAGCAAAGAGGCTTTATTTCCACTCCCACTAATGTTGCCACCCCCACAGCTGCGCAGGTCCTCGAGCAGCGCTTCTCGAGCATCCGCTTGGTTACCCTCGGCGATGTTTTCCAGCGAGCTGCTCACACTCTCTGCACTTGCAGCGCTCGACACGACCTGAAACATTGTTCGAATTAGTGCGCTATTCTCTCTCTCTTTTTTTTTTTCAGTACTGATAAGGCCAAACATCTGCACACTGCACTTCCATGCAACAACCAAGCACCACGAACGTTTGCAAGGATACATTGGTTGCGCTGACTAGGCTAGTTGGTTGGTATTTATACACAGAGCAGCACAATGAGACAGGGACGGAGAGAGAAGACACAAACACAGTGCTTACTTTAAACTAACGTGAAATTACAGAAGAAAATGAAATTGAAAAAAAAAATGAGGGAGAAAGTAACAGCATATCCACGGAGTGAATGATGATGAGTAGTGCAAAGCGTCCGACCAAGCGATCGTCTGTCTGTCCATTTGTACTTCCATCCATGCTTCTGTCCATCCGTCTGTCCGTCAACTATACGAAAACCACTAGTGCCATCTAGTGCTATTATTAAATGCAACGCATTACTTAGCGAACTTCGATGACCTTGAGCGTATCTATCTATCTATCTATCTATCTATCTATCTATCTATCTATCTATCTATCTATCTATCTATCTATCTATCTATCTGTCTGTCTGTCTGTCTGTCTGTCTGTCTGTCTGTCTGTCTGTCTGTCTGTCTGTCTGTCTGTATGTCTGTCTGTATGTCTGTCCGTCCGTCCGTCCGTCTGCTTACGTTTGGGTGTTCTCGCGGTCATACCCTTAACTTGACGTGAACCAAAATTAGCATCGGAAGGTAACATAGTTTGACGAATATGACGCACTGGTCAAGACATGAATAATGTCACAATCCTGGTGCGTACGTCGTCAAAGACTTCCCACCAGATGGTGGCACATACCCACGGGCAGCTATGCACCGCTGGTATAGTGATATGTGCCACAGGGAACTAACACAATATCTACTCAGGAACGACGAGAACACACATGGGCAATTTTTAACACGCGAGCGTTAAGAATTACCCGACATCGGTAGTGTCGACCTGACAAATGCAAAGAATAAATGCCAGGGTCCCAACTGGAATCGAATCCAAGCATTCTGCGTGACAATGAAGCATTTTACCACAGAGCTACGCCAAGTCTCGGAACTACTTTTCAAATAGACTAATTTTCGTGAAGCGTGAATATTGATAGCAGTGCTGCCTACCCAATTTTATAAACATTACATATGTACTCGTTTGATACTGCTGTCACGTCGGGTTATCGTTAATCGTGGTTAGTTGCCATACGCTAAAGTTGATTTATGTAGCAGTGTCCAGGGCTGACATCCTCGCGAGTATCAGCACTTCATATCACTTTCTGGTGTTGCTAATACGCCTGCTCCCATTGGCATTGTTGCACAAGTGCACACAACTGGTTATATAAACATCTGCAACTCTTCAACATATGTTTGAGTGTGCATTATTTGTACATATAATTAGCATCATTTCGTGACATGTAACTCAATAAAAAAGTTTAAACACAGTCACCTTCCCTCCGCATGCTTCGCAGAACGTAGATTCCCAGGTACGTGGGATCTGCCGAATTTTTCCAAGGACATATACACACAATGTCATCTATTGAGCAATTTGTAAACTAGAGGTGGCTACATATTACTACTGCTACTACTACAACTACTACAGTAAAGGGAACGACTCACAGCCTAAGGAGCTTTGCCCCTCAAATGTATGAGCACACCATGTTTGGCCTTTCCAGATAAAGAAAAGAGGTTGCTAGGTTCCTCGTTGTGACGTTGACAAGACACATTCCGATTGCACTGATGACAGGTGTGAGTTCTGTACAGTATATTTGTTGCTAACTTGGCTCTACTATCAGTTCATTGCCTTTGTATGAATAGCACATGCCATCACAAAAAGCTTCTAGTTGAAAGTTAGCGTTTTGCTTAAGTATTCTCTCTCAGCCCTGTTAAGATTTCACTGTGTCACAATGGTAGCGGTCACCAAGAGCGATGAGCAGCCGAACAGACGTCGCTGAGGCCTTCACCGAGAGGCGGAATAGGAAGGCAGTCGTTTTGAAAACAGTAATGTTTACGAAAGCAGATTATTGTTGGTAAAAGCCGGCCAGCACGACGATGTTGGCTTGGGCGAGCCCCACTAACATGTGCCGGCACGGCCTTAACTAAGGTTCCAGTCTATTGTCTAAGACCGGTTCCCGGTGCTTGGCAGGGCCAGAGAAGACTTCGCCGGAACTCTGGGCGACTAGCCGACCTCCTGTGAGAAGAAGGGCTCCCGCATGAGGACAATGCCTCTGACACAACAGTCCCTACTGAGCAGCACAGCTCTGTGTAATGAACCGCAAAGGTGTCCAACTAACTTCGCTCATCACTTCTGACCCCTCAATCACTACAATGGGTAGTCCTGCAGTGACTGGCCCAAATTAAGGATCCAGTCACTGATTTGTCGTTTGGCTGAGCAACTCATCCCCATTAAACGATTCTGCATATAGTCGCATCCACTGAGGTACAAGTAGCATTTTATGCACGTGATAAGAAATACACTAAGATTAATTATGTCATGACCCAAATTTCTGCATCTTTCCACTTTTCAGCACTTGCATGAAAACGTGAGCTGAATTGAATAGCCATCACTTTTGTTTCAACGTAAAACAACAATAAAAAAATAGGCATGCATCAGTTTTCAGCTGATCTGTTATATATGCTAGGTGCAAATAGTATTTTTCGGTTTTCCATGGCAAGAAACTTAGTTTTTTACTTGGCATTACCTTAAAGCTACCTTTTCCTCCCATAATGATAAGCATAAATGGGTATCAAATAAAGTAAGGGTTCTGTAACAAAATCGTGACATGTTCAAGAGGAGCGATCAGTTGTGACAGCAAAAAGCATCGGTGTAAGGGCAGCAGTGGCACAAAAGAACAATGAACTATCATGTGTAAGCAGGCATTATAGATTTGTAATAAGACCAAGTGGACGTAAGATTCAGCGGGTTGAAAAAATGTAGTCGAGAATGAATACAGATGGACACAAGAGTTGAATCAGGAGCTGTTCATTGAAGAGAGAAAATAAAAATTGGAAGCGAGAACAATGAGTACAAATGCATTTCTTGTTTAGCACACATCTCCAACATTGGACACTCGCACTAATTAAAACCTGACTAACCATGGGTCCTTCACTGGTGGCAGGCTGCAGGCTGGTCTCTACAGCCTGTCGTGCTCGTGCTCTCTCGACAGCATCGTCGAGAAAGTTGTTTATGCTCTGCTTGGATGAACCCTTGATCTTGCCTACGTAGAGAACCTCAAACTGGTGAACTCCACTGGCACCTCCTAGGTCAGTGCAGCTGCCTGCTCTTGCAAGCGGGGCACCAGCACCGTGGTGCAGCGACAGTTCTTTGCTCACCTCCCGAACTGTCATGAACAGCTCCACCACCTGTGCGGCACATGCACAAGCATCAGACAAGGAGTGGTGGGTCGTTGCAACAGAAGAACCAACAACTGTCGAGTAGCCTCTACAACAATTTTCATATAAGCGATTTCTTCAAGGAACTGTACTGGTAAATGATAGGCTTATGCCTTTTCAGTACAATTAATGATGCCAGCAGTCTGGCATCATTCGAAAATAAGCTCTCGATTGGTTCGCGTATGAGGAATCTTAGTTGTTAAGTGCCTCCTACATCGCTTTGCCATGCAGTCCCACAACAGTTCCGCTTTATCTCACATGACTATCACGTGCGATCAACTTATTTAACTTTGTTTCATGCGTTTCTGACTGTGCAAGCGGTGATAACAACTTGCAGCTGAAAGGCGTGAAATCCTGAAAGGATATATGAGAGAGGCCTGCAGCAGCGCTTTTTAACCACACCCTTCTATTTTCTTACTTCAGTGCCTTCATCACTAGTTCAAATGCCCGTCACACTGCTGCTATTACCAATACTTGCAATCAGCTTGGGGTAATTTCACGCCAAAGGTCCCAGCCATTTTGGCGACCATCTCACATATATCTGAAAAAATTGTGCTTATTTAGTGGATTACTAAAATACTTAGGAGATAAAAAAATTTTTGGCCACGTGGGGCACTTTTGAACTTTCCATAATGTTGTCTGGGTGTTGTTTGGGAAAAAAGTTATTTCAAAAGTACTGCTCCCTTCTTTCTATACCAAATTTAGTCTACATACATATTAAGTGAAGGAGCTTGTGTAAGATGTTTGAAGTTAAGTAATATTAGTGCAATTTTCCACCACATACCCTTTTAAAAATTTAGCCCAATTGTGTTATGTTTGCATTCTTTCTATTCATACTGCCACCGTACTAAATAAAACTTCACTCAATACAACTTGTACTCAACACAAGTGCGTGGCCTCATGAGCTCAAAGACTGCGCATGGCTTTAACTTACCCCCATTCAAAACCCAAATAATATTTTCTTCTTTAGCATCATTTCCAAATCTGCATTTAGTTGTGGAATAAGAGCTAGTGTAAGGCATGGGTGACCTTGGAGCTTGTGAAGTCACGCGTTCATGTGTTTCAAATTGTAATTAGTGCAACCGCACTTTCCTCTGCATCTTACTTGGCCCACTTTGGTCAGACTTGGCCGTTGTGCCAATACACCACCATTCCACTAACATCTCAAGCCACCTTGGCATTATATACATTGTTTGATTTACATGGTAGCAAACTGCTCAAGCAATCAAAACAAACATGAGAACAGCTGTTCGTAACCGTTTTACAAAGCTCTTTTGATGGGCACTTAAAAAACGTGTACACTGGGCCATTAAGGAAATCTTTCAAGCTTCACTGCTAGGCAATTGCACCAAAAAATCGGCGTCAGGAAATAGCAGTGCCGATTAAAAATAATTAATTTATGAAGTCCTGTCAATATTGGAGATGGCTGTCATGATATCGATATCTTACATTCCCACAACTAGTACTTGACATAGATCTATTGCAACAAACTAGGAATTACGGCCAATTATCAGGCGAATGTCATACTTTTCCTTTTCGAGTGTACAACATTGTCATTTGTGGAGCTAGCGTTTTTGTCCACCTGTGCACATTATTTCTCAATATCGCAGTTACGCAGCTGTGTCTCTGCACATTTTAGCAACAAGCACTAGCAGCCGTACTCTAGATATCGCTGTCACCAGGCGCCAGCACACGTGCACTTTCCAACGGTAATAACGGTGTTGCGCAAGAATAAACGCGAAAGCCAGAGGGCATCTCAATTATTTCTTCCTCGTTCGCGTATCGTTTATCACAATAATCGAAGGTTTTCCCCGATTGTGGCGCTCGCCGGTGATTCATGCCCCCCTGGCACTGCGACTATACGCGACCCAATCCGAGCAGTAACGCACAATCAGTTTACCAGGCACTGAGCCGGCATAGGCCTGTTGAAATGAATGCGCGGTTATACAAACACAGCGGCTGTTATCTCCAGCAAATGCTCTGTGAGGCAAACTCGATAACAAGGAGATTTGTTTCACGCACTTCGCCGTTACACTCTCACTCATGTGCTACCACGCGCTGGGCAGCACGCACACAGCTGATCGGCTTCAACGAAGGGGCGCAAAAAAAAAGGAAGTCACCACTGACCGTGTCCTTGTCGCTAGCCTGGAAGACGTGACAGTAGGGCAGCTCGTCGGGAGCGTTTCTCTGCAGGTACGTGAAGCAGGTGCGATCAGCGTTCGAATGGGAGAACTTGGATATCGACTGAAGCGGATGGTCGAACACGAGTCGCTCATCGTGGTAGGACCGCGCCTTGAGAGATGAGTCGCGTACTTCGAGGAGCACGTCCACGGGTTTTCGCAGACCTTCGCGCCGTAGATCTGCCACAATCCAAGGCAACATGGGGGCAGTGTAACGCCGGTCTAAACACATGGAGCCGAGGTATTTGACGCAAAAGTTGCGGGCCAGGGGCCCGACGAGGGTGGTAGGGCGCTCGCTGGCGCTCTCCTGCGCCGTCACAACCGGCGGGCCGTGCCTCTCCATGCCTGGGATGTTGAGCTTCTTGTAGAAGCGCTTGCGCAACAACGTCGAGTCCAGCATCAAGCAGCTCGGCGGAAAGGCTATCCGCCGTTAACCCTTCTCACGACACACGGACAGACATTGCGCACACACCGCGGAAGAGTCAAGTCGGAACCGCGGTTACCGATGTGGCGCGGCGCGCGTCGGAAGCCCCATCTGCGGATACTTCCCCACAATTCCCCCGTACACGAACGCACGAGCAACAACACGGCGACACGCTGTCCACAGACTGATGACTCCTCCTGCGGCGCTGGGACAGCCCCGCAAGGGCGGCAACCGCACAGCTGTTTTCGCGATCCAAAATAGACGTGCGATGGCTCTGCAACTCGCGCGGGTCAACAGCGTCCTGCCGAAATCACGGTACGGGGAACGACTTTCTTTTTTCTTTTGTGCATTGGAGTAAAAGTTCAACGCTTTAATCGACGTGCCGAGGTGTGTCGATTACTGAGAAGTCCGGTCAACGACATAAACGCGCGCGCGCAAAGCTGGCAGAATTCACGCAATGCTTGCGCTGTGGCGTAGCAGCAGGAACCTCGCCGCAACTCCGACCTTCCAATGCTGCCAGTAAGGACAACGGCAGCGCTGAGTGCGCCTGCGCGAGTGGAGAACCCGAGCCCCACGTTCCTTGCTCGTGCTCTCGCAGAACACCTACCGTGCTGTTCACAGGTAGCAACCATGTAGTACCTAGATGCGTGCTTTATTCCCTAGCCGTTCCCTACGCTCTTCGCCGACGCGGGCCGTTTCATTTCATTTTAATCAACGTACCTCGGCTTGCTGCTGGTCTATAGTGTCTACTACTGTCCTGTGATAGCTGACCTTCTATAAGTTGTAAGCAAAGAAACCTCCTTAGACCACAGTGTGCCGTGCCTGGAAGAATTAAGCGACTCCCGAAAGCGCATGACTTGCACCAGTTTTTCGGCGCGCTTTTTTGATTTCATGGTGAGCGAGGTTCGTTCGAATCTCGAGTACTCAGCGGCCGAGCCCCACTACCACAGGCACTGTGCCGTGCTTCCGACCGGGCTGCAGAAATTAGGTGCCTTTCCCCTCTTCTAACCACTACCACCACCACACCACTACCATCCGCTTCTGAGGAAGACAAAGACGAAGGATTAGATCGCCGCATTATGGCACTTCCCCTCAAGAACCTCGATAGACATCAAGCTTGGGACTGGCGCCGCCTGCAGACAATACATCCCCAAATCTGCATAAGCTTCGCATGATGTACCCGGCGAGATATCCCAACGCATGCCCGTATAGCGCGGAGATACTCCTACACTAACAAATATAACCTACAGCTGTCCAAGGCGACTTGTCACAGTCGACACAGGACAAACGCACCGAATACAAACGTGGTCGTGGGAGGCACGACTCGCTGAACCGGGAACCTGGCAAGCCAACTGGCGACCCTGGGTAAGGCTCGCCGTGCCACTATTGCCAATGAAGACTTAGAAGAAGGGCCCCACCCGCGATGATCCACTTTTTTTTTTAATAAATGCTCTCTCTCTCTCTCTCAGAGTCCGGGTGGCTTTATAAAAAATCCAAAGCAACGTCGGTGCCCGAAGGTACATAGAACGATCAAGAAATATATGTTTGTAGTTGGGAATTACAGAGACCCATAAAGCCTGTGGGGTACACTCGAGGTGGAACACTTATTTCTGAATAGATAAGATACCTTCGCCGTACAGTGCAGCAGGGAGTCCGCATTGCGAGAACGTTCCCGATAACTCGAATACATGGATATGCCCTCAACGAATCAGAAGAACAAGACCACTAAATTCTACGGAGAAACCGGGGCCCTTCAGTTCAAATCTGCAGAAAATCCCCATTGAGACCACCCAACCAGTGGCTTAGCCAGAATTTTTTATGGGGTGGGAGTTCTACCATAGTTTATGTATGTGTGTGTATAGTGGCTAGAAATTTCTAGCCACTATAATATGTGTGCGTTTGTATGTGTGCGTGCAACATTGCTTGTTGCGCGAGTTGGGACCAGTCAGTCATAATGCAGCGCAAAAAGCAAACAACAGACGAGCTAGGGGACGACCGGAGCCAGCGCATTCTTCCAACTCGCGTGAGCTCGCTTGCTAGTCCATCCATCCGTCCATCCTTATCCTGGCCACGGTATAAGATCCTGGCATAGCTGAGCTAAAGCCACTGCTTTAGAGGCAGCAATTAACGCCCGTTCCTGCGTTGAGTGGTGCCGGCGTCGTACTGACCAGCAGAGCGAACGAGGACGAAAGAGAGCGAACGCGGAGCGCAGTGCTGGATGATAGACGGTGATATTGAGGAGAGCATGAGAAGGAGGAAGCGACAGTGTCGCACAAGAGGTTCCGCGACGCCAAAGCACTGCGCGCCGTCGTGCGGTAGCCAGTATCGGCGGTGCTGCGCAAAGCTAGGAAACACGGACAAGAGAGTGAACGAGGACGAGCGCAGTTCACTACCTTCTCCGTGTTCCCTTTCGGCAGCACATTGTTAATAATGTAAAAGCGACTCACCCAGCAACGTGCATTATGTATTGCACCAATAAGATATGCGGCGAGCGAGAACATCCACCGATACTATATATGAAAATTAAACACCGCATGTCGGAAGGCCTGTCTCCGGCGGCTGTTGTGGAACGCGCCCACGGACTGCGCTCCGCGGTCACCCGGCTAGCGAGGCAGTCTCGCGATGCTCTGTCTGCGGCAGCTGATGTGAAATCAGCGGCCAAAGTGCCTATCACGCTACCCACGGCGTTCTTAGTGTCAACCGTGTACCTATCAAAACAACTATGCAGCTGCGCTCAGAATGCGCATTAGGCAGTATCGTAATCACGGATCATTGTTTAGAAGTACTTGAACGCAGCAATTCAGTTCCGTCTGTTCGTTTGTAAGACGAAAAATAAATCCATGGGCGAAATTTGGAAGTTTATTTACAGAACAAAATGTAGCCCGTCGTTGGGGCAGTTAAGAGTTGCGTACCTCAACCCCCTCTACTATTTTTTCCGCATTGACTGCTGCTGCTGAAAAACATTTATTTACAGATGTTATTTACTGGGAGGGTGGGAACGGTCCTTAAGGGGCCGCCCCGTACAAACACTAGGTGGGCTCCCTCTTACGGGAGCCCATTGGCGTTGGCCGCGGCCCGGGCACGCTCGACCAGGGCCCGTTGGGCCGTCAGGTCAGAGCAGCCGAGCAGGGCTACCTCCCAGTCCTCCCGCGAAGGGTTGGGTAGTGGGGTGAGGTTTGGGGTTTTTTGACATGCCCACACCATGTGGAAAATATCAGAGGAATTTTCCTCACAATGCGGGCACTTCCCCCTGCAAGCGGGGTCAAAGTGTTTTATGATTGCCGGGCACAATAGAGTTTTGGTATAAAGGCGAAGGAGGATTCGCTCCTCCGCCTTCGTGAGGCCCTTACAGGGTTTCAGATAGACGTTATGGCCGGATTGATAAAATTGTGTGACCTCATTAAAGGTGTAGGTGGGATTGGGTTCGAGTTCCGGATCGGTAGGGGACGAGGATGGTGCCCGGAGAGTGAGCGCGCGGGCGGCGGCATCGGCCGTCATCGGCCGCGGGCGGCGGCATCGAGGCCCGTGTGAGCCGCAGCCCATATGATCGTTCGGTGCGCGGGGGCACCTAGGTAGCTGCTGTTCTGCAAAATTTTATAAGCAAGGTACGGAATGTATCCCTGTTCAAGATTGCGGCAGGCACCCCTTGAGTCGGTGATGATGACCCTCGAGTCATCATCTGATCTGCGGCGGCTAGTGCGATGGCGATCTCCTCCGCGTGCGTAATGTTATGTGCACAGAATGTGAGTCCGTTTACAACGGTGTTTTGGTGGACGACCGCAGCCGTGTACCAACCACCGTGGTGCGGGCCGGAGGCGTCCACGTAGAATACTCCAAATTTGCGGCCGTAGTGTCAAGCCAAGGCTTCCGCCCGCGCGAGGCGTCGGCCATGCACTGTAGTCGACTCGGGTCATGTTAGCCGGAAGAGGGCGCACGTGCAAGGAGTATCGCCAGGTAGGTAGGTAATCAACTTTATTGATTCACGAAGGAATCATTTGAGGGGGGGGGGGGGGGTGTGTGGTTGGGGAAGTGGAACCAGGATGACGACGAGCCCTCGGGCCGCTCTAGGTGGCCGGACACTGCTGTGATTCGGCGACCCTTCTGGCCCAGCTCACTGTCCGGAGCTGTAAACCCAATTGCGAGCTGCGCAGAGCAGCCTCCCATCGCGCCTGGTGTTCTGACCCTTGCCATGGAGGCTTGGGTTTGTTTGGACAATTCAGAAATATGTGCTGGAAGTCGGCTCTGGTGCTAAGACATAAGTTGCAATGAGGCGGGGTTTCGCCATGTGTAAAAAGGGAGATAAGAAAAGGAGTCGTTACTGTGGCCGTTTGAAGTCTGCGCCACAAAGCCTGGTCACTTCTGGAGAGAGATTTATGTGGCGGGGGATACGTTAGGCGGGAATTTCGGTAAAAGAGCGTGATATCATGATAGCTGAGGAGTCGATCCCTGGCACTTCGAAGCGAAGGCAGGTCGCTGTGAGCCCGGTTGGCGAGTGCTCGGGCTTGGGTGTGAGCGGCCGTGTTGCCTGGGTGTCCACAGTGCGCAGGGACCCAGAGGAGGGTGATGAGGCGATCAGGTGGAAGAGATGATTCAAGAATTTTAGCAGCCGGAGAATGAATTCGGAAAGTGGCGAAATTACGAATTGCAGTTTTTGAATCAGAAAAAATATACTCAGCGGAGGAGTGAACAATGGCTAAAGCAATTGCCGCCTCCTCTGCTTCCAGGGATTCTGTCGAATTTGGAAGGGACGCACTAGCGACCAGTTTTGAAATCCATCTACGACGGCTACCGCGAAAGCTCGATGATCTACATATTCGGCCGCGTCTACATAGACTGCGGGAGAATTAGGAGGGAAGCGCTTCTGAAGGGACTTGACTCGAGCCTCCCGTCGCGCCTGATTATGTTCTGGGTGAGTATTTTTGGGGAGTGGCGGGATTAATAGGTTGCTGCTAACAGTGACGGGAACTGCGCGCGTGGCCGTGGTGTGACCAGGAACGTTGATTCCAAGTCGGCGCAGGAGTACCTGTCCTGTTTCTGTGAGTGATAGTCTTTGATATTGGCTGAAAAGATGCGCCTCTACAAGCTCTCCCAGAGTGTTGTGCACCCCAAGTTGAAGTAGTTTATCCGTGGCTGTTGATTTAGGGAGATGGAGCGCAGTTTTATAGGCATTACGAATGAGTCTGTTAAGTTGCTCGGTCTCCGTAAGTGAGAGATAGAGGTAGGGGATAGAATAGGTAATTCTGCATATAGGCAAAAGGCCTGTATGAGGCGGCGTGTGTCTGCTTCCCTCATGCCGCGATGACGATTGGATATGCGCTTAATGAGGGAAGCTGTATTTTGAACTGAGGTGCGGATTAACTTTATGGTGTCAGCGTTCGAGCCATTGTCGGAAATATTAAGGCCTGAAATATTGATTTTATTGACCCTGCGAATAGGGGTGTCATCAAGCATGACTTGAATGTGACATGTATCTTGCTTTTTAAAGTCAATTACTAGGAGTTCCAATTTAGCCGCCGAGCAGGTGAGCCCAATATTGTTGGCGTGTTTAACAACAATGTCAGTGGCCAACTGAAGCTTCGATTCGATTAAGCCATGGTTGCCAGTATTGACCCAGATGGTGATGTCATCCGCGTACAAGGAGTGATTGATGGAAGAAAGTTTGGCAAGTTTCCGCGCTAGCGGTATG